ATTTCAGGAGCCTTCAGTAACTGGAGAGGCAGTGCATGTGCGTAGGAGGAAAACTCTAGAAGATCGCTTAGTGATCTTTACCTTTTGGCCGTAAGCACGTGCAGCCTTGAATTTCCTCTTGCGAGTAAGGCTGCTCTATCCGCTGTTGTAGCTAAGCGGCTTCAGTTTGGGTCTTTGGGACTGTTTTTTTTTTTTAAAGATTTTTTTTCTTGAATTTTAGAGGGAGAAATATCTATGTGAGAGCGAAATGTCATTAGGCTGCCTCCTGCTCCCCCCTGCTGGGGATGGAGCCTCACAGCCTGAGCATGTGTGTTTTATTTTTTTTATTGATTCTTTACGGAGAGGAGGGGAGAGGGAGAGTTAGAAACATCGATGAGAGAGAAACATCGATCAGCTGCCTCCTGCACACCCCCTTCTGGGGATGTGCCCGCAACCCAGGTACACGCCCTCGACCGGAATCGAACCCGGGACCCTTCAGTCCGCAGGCTGACGCTCCATCCACTGAGCCAAACCGGTTGTGGCTTGAGCATGTGTCTTGATGGGGAATCCAACCCCAACCTTTAGGTCCGGCCCCCTCCTCGCCAACCAACCGAGCCACACCAGCCAGGGCTGGACTTTTTATTTTTTTAAATAATATACTGTTCATTGTATTAATATCCTCAAAAAAGCCTCTTTAAAAACAAGGTGAGCCCAGCCTGCATGGTGCAGTGGTTGAGCGTCCTCCCATGCACCACAAGGTCCCAGGTTCGATTCCCAGTCAGGACACAGGCCTGGGTTACAGGCTTGATTCCCAGTGGGGGGCGTGCAGGAGGCAGCCGATCAATGATTCTCTCTCATTGTTAATGTTTCTCTCTCTAAAATCAATAAAAATGTTTAAAAAATAAAATAAGGTTGTTGTTTTTAAGATGAGATTTATGTTTGATAGTTTTGTGGCAGAAAGATCACCTTTACACTTTGAGTATTTATGTAGAAAGGTCATAAGCGTGCAGTTGTGTTCTGATTTGAAACATTTGTTTGCCCAGTTATCACCAAACAGCTCAGTGCTTCGCATCCCTCCACCAGTCAGTGAAGGGGACCTTCCCCTCCTGCATTTCCACAGACGAGTTGGACTGTCTAGGGCAGGGGTCCTCAAACTACGGCCCGCCGAAAACATTTACTGGGCCGCCGGGTGTTTCTGCCGCCGCCACCTGTCCTGCTTAGCAGCCGACGCGTCCCGGGCCCGCAGTGCGCACGTGTGGAATGTCTGAGGGACAGTGAACTGGCCCCTGTTTAAAGGGGCCCCTGGTCTGGGGGCTTTTGAAAGTAGAGAGAAGGACTAGGGATTGGGGCTGTGAGGGTGGAGAGGGCAGGCCTTACTGACGGTGACGGCTCTTGCAGTTCTGGCTGAAGAAAGACCTTCCAGTGTTTGCCTTGCTCAGCTATATGCTAAAGACGTGCAGAGAACGGGGCAGAGGAGGAAACTGGAGCTAAGCAAGGAAGGCCACTGCCTTGAGTGAAATAGTGTTTTGGTTACAGAAAGGAAGTAGGTTTTTATTTTCTTCCTGAAAACAGGGCTTGGTCTCTAGCAAGTTTCTGAAAAAGACAGTCCACTCTTGCCGGGGGGGCAGCTCCATCGGACAAGCGGACATGGCTTCCTGCGTGTCCCAGGAACTGCCCTGGAGAAGCCAGGTGTTCGTGGTCCCTGAGCCTTGCTGCATCCAGGTGACGCAGGGCACTGTCACTCAGGAGCAGTGAACGCTTGTCCTGTGTCCTGCCCAGGCCCGTGCTGGGCACAGGGGTGGCTGCACTGAGCGAGGAGACAGGCCCCTGCCCTCATGGAGCGTGTTTGTCAGTGGGAAGACAAACACCATCGATTACCCGTTCTTTTCCTAAAACATCCTAAGAAGTAGTTTCAAACATACACAAAAGTAGTGATCTCTCCTATACCTAATATACAGCTGCGTTAATTAGTTGCCAGTCTTATTCATCTTTAAAAATATATGTGCTTTTTTATTATTTTTAAAAGTTGTTTTAATGCCCTGGCTGGTTAGAGCATCAGCCCATGCACCGAAGGGTCTTGGGTTTGATTCTTGGTCTCAGATGAGGATTGAAGGTAGATATCTATAAATATAGATAGAGATAAGTATGTTTTTATTGATTTTAGGCAGAGAGAGAGAGATAGAAACTTCTATTGATGAGAGAGAAATGTCGATTGGCTGCCTCTTGCATGCCCCCTACTGGGGATGGAACCCAAGACCCCGGCATGTGCCCTGACCACGGAATTGACCCTCTAGGTGCATGGGATTACGCTCAACCAACTGATCCCCACGGCTGGGCTATATGTGCTTTTCGAGGTGAAATCTGATAAATGCCCGAGGAAGGAAGGAAGTGTGTATATATTGAATTAGATTATCATCGTTACTTAGGATTGAAATCAGTTAGATTATAATTTCAGTCTGAATATGTTTAGGTCCTAGACACCTCTTTTTTGTTGTTGTTAATCCTCACCTGAGGATATTTTTCCTTTGATTTTTAAAGAGAGTGGAAGGGAAGGAGAGACGGAGAGAAACATCGATGTGAGAGAGAGACATCAATTGGTTGCCTACTGCACACGCCTTGACCTGAGATCCAACCCGTAACAGATCATGCCCTTGACCGGAATGGAACTTGGGACCCTTCAGTCCTCGGGCTGACGCTCTATCCACTGAGCCTGGCTAGGGCTCTTTTTTAAAAATGGCTAAGTGAAGGTTATGTTTAACAAGAACATTTACCACTATATTACTCACAATTCAGGTGTTCTTGAATATTTTCAGCTGAAAATTCTCACGAAAAGTGATTTTAAAGTTGGTCAGGGCTGCCACTTAGGGAAAACATTTTTTTTTTAATAGACTCGCGTGGCGTGTGGGTTCGATCCGCCGCTTGCATCTACAGACACTTATGGCATGCAGTGGGTTAATCGTTCATTTACCTCATGAAAAGACATTGAGGATCTTTGACGTGATTAAGACATAATAAAGCTGTAAAAATTTTGGTATATTCCCCAGCTCAGGCCTTCTTTCTCTCACAGAGTGGCCCTATTTGAAACAATATTATTACTCTAGCTGTGCACTGGATGTTTTCAGTTTAAAATTAAGGATTCAACATAATGCTGGATAATCTGCCATAAAAATTAAAAAAAATTCCCCTTGAAAAGTGTGTTCTTGTTTGAGGTAAAAGTGGGATTGAGAGTTGAGAACTAGAAGCAAAGGGCTTACTGGTGCCACCATGAAGCGTGCGTGCGAGTCCACATTTAGAATGTGAGCTCGTAGGGAGCCCGCATGCATGCCTGCATTCTTCTGAAACTTTAGATTCTTTTGCCTGTATCCCTTTCATCTTTTAACTGAGTTGCCCTTTAGAAGTAGGAAAATCTGATGAGGCTTGGGACTGTTTCATAAATTGACGTTCAACTTGGCATACTAAATTTTTGTTGTTAATCCTCTCCTGAGGATATTTCCATTGCTTTTCAGAGAGAACGGAAGGAAGGGGAGTGGGAGAAAGAAACATCATTGTGAGAGAGACACATTGAGCGAGTCCGCGACCCTTAAGTGCGTGGGCTCTAACCACTCACCTGGGCACCATATTAATTTTTTAAATGTTTTTTATTGAATTCAGAGAGAGGAAGGGAGAGATAGAAACGTCAGTGATGAGAGAGAATCATTGATTGCCTGTGTCCTCCTGCTGGAGATCAAGCCTGCAATCCTACCTTTTGCCCTGGTGGGGAATCGAACCATGATCTCCTGGTTCATAGGTGGATGCTCAACCACTGAGCTGCACTGGCCAGGCAGTAGCAACTTTAAAAATCATCCTTAAGCCCTGGCCGATTTGGCTCAGTGGATAGAGAAAGCGTTGGCCTGCGGACCGAAGGGTCCTGGGTTCGATTCCGGTCAAGGTCACATGCCTGGGTCACAGGCTCAATCCCCACTAAGGGGCGTGCAGGAGGTGGCCGATCCATGATTCTCTCTCATCGATGATGTTTCTATCTCCCTCCCTCCCGCTCCCTCTCTGAAATCAATAAAAATATATTTAAAAAAATCATTCTTAAGTTAGAGTTTGAAAGATAAATGTACAAGCATCGATCTATGAACCGGAAGGTCAGGGTTTGATTCCTGGTCAGGGCACATGCCAGGGTTGCAGGCTCTATCCCCAGTGTGAGCTGTTCAGGAGGTAGCCAGCCAGTGATTGTTATTCATCATTGATGTTTCTATCTCTCCCTCTCCCTCCCTCTCTGAAATTAAAAAAATGTGTGTGTATAAATATATAATATATATATATAATATACGTATATTATTTTAAAGACAGTGTTCATGCCAGTAAATGCTTTGAATTGCTCTAAAGTAGTTGGCCTATCACAAATATATATTCCTGTTGCTAAAACTTACAGAGACAAGGCAAATTAGAATTGTTTTTATTCTCAAGTCTGGTCATTTTATTTTATTTTTTTATTATTATTTTTTTAAAATATATTTTATTGATTTTTTACAGAGAGGAAGGGAGAGAGATAGAGAGTTAGAAACATCGATGAGAGAGAAACATCGATCAGCTGCCTCCTGCACATCTCCTACTGGGGATGTGCCCGCAACCCAGGTACATGCCCTTGACCGGAATCGAACCTGGGACCTTTCAGTCCGCAGGCCGACGCTCCATCCACTGAGCCAAACCGGTTTCGGCTGAAGTCTGGTCATTTTAGTACCAACAAGAGAAATGTTTTGTGAGTAAAGTGTGCACACACTGAAACGTACAGATCCTAAGTGTAGGATTTGATGGGCTGTAGGAAGTGTGTGCACCTGGGTGACAGTATCCCATTCGAGGTTTTGGGCATTTTCATCACCCCAGAAAGTTCCCTCCTGGGTCCCCCCACCCTCCCGCCCCAGTAAGTAGCTCGCATCCGTATAGACAATACTAGTAAAGGGGTGCGTTTGACACATTTTTTGTTTGTAGTTGTTTAGTAATGTTAATTGTTACAACTCTTCTTTAATTTGTAGGAGATAAAAACATTCAGATGGCAGATAACAGGTAAGCCAAGATGAACTTTGTTGATTGGCGTTCACATTTTAGGTGATGAGCAACAGGCAAGCCTTCGCGTTTGTGTGGCTACGTACAGAGCACTGTGGGCGCTGTGTCCTCCCGGCTGGGGGAGGTGGCTTTTCTTGCTCAGCAGCCATCCAGGCCACGGGTCCTTGTTGGTTGGGTGGTGGGTTTGGTCTCAGAGCAGCGGGATTATGTGAAATTGTAGAGCTGAGAATTCCGAAGCTTTGATGAGGGTTGGAAATTAGAACTGTTGGGGGTGGCATGTGGGGGGCCCAGGATGATGGTGGGGTTATTATATTAAGTGGGAGGGTGTTTTAATAACTAAGTCTCTCGTATGCACCACGTGTGTCTGTGGTTCTCTTCCATCAAATTTGAAGTCACTGTTGACACCTTAACGGTTACATATGAAGACGCCCTGTGCTACTTACCTTAGGAGCTTTCTTTACAGTAACGCCTTCTTATTTTCAACATGTTGCTCCAGCTTTTCAGACGGGGCTCCTTCAGACTCCTTGGAAGCTGCTAAAGATGCGAGTGCTGCAGGTCAGTGCACTGCGGGGAGGAGCTCACCTGGAGAGCTGGCGTGCAGAGCGGTCCACGCTGGGTCTGCACAGCGGCAGGAAGAGCGGCTGCTCTGACCACAAAGGGTTCTTCCTCAGGCTTCAGGGAAACGTAGCACGATAAGATGAAAATCAGCACATCGTCTAAGAAACGTTTTACAGGAAACTCAGACTCGGCAGCAGTAAAGTACCTACAGTCGCTGGGCGTCAGCGTTGATTAACAAACGACCAGCCTCTTCTCATCCGCGCCTTCTCTTCCGATTGTTCTGAAGCAGATCCCAGATACCCATTTCCCCATAAATTCATGGGTGTGTTTCCCCTTCTACTTCAGAAAGGCCCCCTGAACGTCTTGAAAACAAGTTGTGGACATACTGGCTGAAAGAGTCGCTAAGACAATTGAGTGTAAATTCCCTAGAAACTGGGAGGAACCCTCATAACCACCCCCAAGAAGTATAACATTAATACGATGCTGTGTGCAGTCGTGTGTGTAGCTCCCCTTTCCACAGTTCTTCACGGCCGTGCCCCCCAGGACTCGCCTGTGGGAAGCGAGTGTGCTGCGTGTTCTGTCTCCTTTGCTGGGGAGCCCCACCCCTCGCCCTTTGCCGCAGCGGCACGGTGCCCAGTGTCTTGTGGGTGCCCGCGCTCTGAATGCTCTGCCCTTCCCTCCTGAGATTCAGGGGCAACATTGTGGCAAGGCTGCCACGTGGGTGACCTTGTGCAGTGGGAAGTGCAGTTGGGCCCATGGCGGGTGCTGGCGTTGGTGACTTGGTTAAGGCAGCGTCTGCCAGACCTCCATCCTGAGGGCCCTTTCGTTAACCACTGTGCTGGCCCCTGTGGGTCCCCTGTTCTCCAGGAGACGCTCACCTGGTGTCAGCACCACGGTGATCCTGGCTGCACCAGTAACGACCCTGGGGCTGCAAAGGTGTTTCCTAATTCTGACCATCCTGCCACAGACCACAGCTGTGACCCCCCCACCCCCACCCCCCGTGTTACCATAGAGACGTGGGTTACCTGCTGGTCGGTCCCTTACCATTTGCCATCATTACTCTTGGTGTAGGATTTGTTCCACTTGATGAGCGGAGTCCCTTCAGGCTGGCTGTGTCCCCATCACTTCCAGGGCTTTTCTTGAGGAGCTTTGGGGCATAAATCCTGTTCCATTTTCCTTTGAACTTCCCTTGCCCCCGACTTGGCTCTGTCCGTTACCCAAGGGGCTCTGTTTTTATTAGCGGGGAGAGTGAAACGCCCAGGTGTAGGTACTAGTGTCATTGTGTCTAGGCCTCGCAGCAGCCAGAGCCAGAGAAGGTGTGCGCGCACATAGCATAGGGTTGCGTGTAGGCACCGTTGCATGCGTTCAACACAGCGCTTCCTGGCAGTGGTTGCTTGTAGTTAAACCGAGGGCCTGCTTGGTGCGTTCTGCTTGCCCACGCACGTTCTTACAAAGGCTGGAGAACTCCCAGGTGCGACGACCTTTGAGTCTGGCTGTCTGCACAGTGGCAGGAAGAGGGGATTGGCTCAGCAAACTTGAACCTGTGCCGTGGCCTAAGTGGCCCATGCCATGGTTACAGTGCAGCATGGTGACACCCCTCCTCCTGTCTGGAGTGTGCGCTGTGAGGGCCGTGTGACCTGTGAGGAGCTGGTGAGGACACAGCGGTGCAGGGGGTGGGTGTGCGCAGGAGGATGGTGCCGGTGAAGGACCAGAGGACACCTGGGAAGTCTGGCCACAGGGAACTGACTGGTGAGGCCGGGCTTCCCGGGCTGTGTGCTGGGCACACCTGGGCACTGATTCACTCTGAAGAGCTGTCTGCTTACCTCTGTCCTCGGCTTCTGGGCCCCACGTGGGACTTGGGGAGTGAAGGCAAGGTGACTGGAAGTGACGTCCTCACTTGGGAGGTTTGGAGCTTAAACAGCCAAGATGAGACCCGGAAATCTCTAGGTAGCCTTCTGCGGGCCTTAACCGCCCACTTAGGTGATTCGCATAAATACCCACTGCCTTGAGCGTGCACCTAAATGTTCTCACAGCATGTTTTAGCTGCCACTGGCCACACTTAGAAATTAAAGTGGACGAGCAGACTGAGTGGGTTTGTGTTGGTGGCTGACTTGGCTGCTCTGTGGTGGGCAGATGGTGAATTGTTTGGCCCTGTTTTCAACTTGTAGAGAAGCTCACCGATCAGGTGATGCAGAACCCTCAGGTTCTGGCAGCCTTGCAGGAGCGGCTCGACAGTGTCTCCCACACTCCTTCCAGCTACATCGAGACGTAAGTATGCTGTGGGCGAGGCGCGGCCCAGCTTCCAGGAGCCAGGGAGAAGGAAAACCACTTCCCTGCTCCTTAGAATAGGAGTGGTGCTTCCATCGCGGGGAGTGCTGGCTCGGGCACAGGGTCTGCAGAGGGACTCAGACCTGGAGAGAACGCAGCAGGTGGGCGCTCTGGTCGCTGGCCCACAGGCCATTCTGTGGCCATGGGAGACTGAGTCGAGCAGCACAGGGAAGGAGTTGGCAGGGAACGGGTGCAGGTGAGGGCGGGACGCTGTCTCTTCCTGGTGGCTGTCAGCTGTGAGCCATTCCTCCCTGACTCACCTCCAGTGCCTGCAACACCACCAACGGCTCTTTTGGGAGAGGCTGTGTCCTGGTGCCGCCCAGTGAGGGCTCCTTGGGCAGCTCTCCCTTCCGGCCGGGCTGTCTTCCTGTTGGAGGGAGGGCCGCTGCTGGGCTCCCGCCTGGCAGTCAGGCCGGGGCTTGGTCTCAGACGGGCTCCCCCCCCCCCCCCCCCACGGTTCCCAGTGCAGGGCTCAGCGTGTTCCAGGCTGTGAGGGAGGGGAGGGGCCCTTGGGTCTGCTTTGCCCAGACAGCAGGCTCTTGGGAGCTGCTGGGAGGCACCTGCAGGCTGTCCGTGGCTGCAGTGCAGCGGGCAGCAGTGGGAGAGTCGTGGCAGTGCTTTCCAGTTCTCGGGCTTAGAGCGGGGGACAGACACGCTGCACGTCAGGTGCCTGTTGTGGGGAGATGGTCGTTATGTCACTGACTCAGGATGGCCGGGGGACAGCAGAGACCAGTTTGCTTAGAACCTTTTGTTATTCTTACTGCATGAGGAAGACTTCAGAAGTTAGACAATGATTTCAAAATGTGTACCTTGTGCAGGGAAGCAGTACAGATGTCACCTCTTGTGAAACTTTTTCTGTTGCCTGTGTCCACCTCCCCCACTCGTTCTAGGAGGGTGACGGGGGTCTGGAAAGACCCTTCACACTGAGGTGGCCTGGGTCTGGATTACCCAGCACAGGGGACTTTGGTGAGCCACAGCCGCCATGGCAGGAGTTCTTTTTAATTTACATTCTTTTGGACATTTAATGAGACTGGACGGCCCTAGCTGGTGTGGCTCAGTTGGTTGGGTGTTGTCCCATGCACCCAGAGGTTGCTTCTTCGATACCCGGTCAGGGCACAGGCCCGGGTTGTGAGCTTAATCCCTGGTGGTGGACATGGAGGAGGCAGCTGATGGGTGTTCTGCTCTCACACCAATGTTGCTCTTCTCTTCCTCTCCTTTCCTCTCTGTCTAAAAATCAATGAAAATGTTTTAAAAGTAATGAGATTGGAGGTTTCTTCTGTGTTCGATTATTTTTATTTTGTGAATTATTTCCTCAGCTTCCTTCACACTGTTTTCCCCCTGTTGGGATGTGTGTCCTTTTCTTTTTTAAATATATTTTTATTGATTTCAGAGAGGAAGGGAGGGAGAGACATCAGTGATGAGAGAGAATCATGGATCGGCTGCCTCCTGCAGGCCCCACACTGGGGATGGAGCCCGCAACCCGGGCCTGTGCCCTGACCGGGATTGAACCGTGATCTCCTGGTTCATAGGTCGACGCTCAACCACTGAGCCACGCCGGTCGGGCCTTTTCTTAATGATTTTATCTCTTTTTCATAGTAAGGATGTTAATTCTGTTTTAACCTAAATTTATTTTAATAAAACAAAAGCATGCCACTGAGATGTTGCAAGCATGTGACAGTTTTCTTCTCTGCTTTCTCTTTAGTTTACCTAAAGCCGTGAAAAGAAGAATCAACGCATTGAAACAACTCCAGGTGAAGTGCGCTCACATAGAAGCCAAGTTCTACGAAGAGGTCCATGACCTGGAGAGGAAGTACGCGGCGCTGTACCAGCCTCTCTTTGACAAGGTGGGAGCATCTCCTCTGATTTGCGCGTCTCAGACCGTTGAGGCCGAGCACCCACATTGCCCAGTAAATCACCCCGAGCTGTTCTTTAAGTCCTAGACCGAAGCTTAGAATAAGTAATAGGAGCATCCAGGTTTCAGTCTTCTCATAGGCATTGTTTGGAAACTCACGGCCTTAACTCCTGTCTTTCCGAATGACATAACTCTAAGAAGGTCTCGCTCTCACTTAGAGAAGGGAGTTCGTCACTGGTGACGTTGAGCCGACAGATGCGGAATCCGAGTGGCACAGCGAGAATGAAGAGGAGGACAAACTGGCTGTAAGTTGTTCTTTTAATGAGCGCGACTTGCGTTCTCTTTCGCACTGTTACACACAAGAAACGTCTCTTAATGGTCTTAACGCTCAACATGACTTTACAAAGAAAAGCGCTCCTGGCAGGAGGTGCTGTTCCACCCTGAGGTCAGGTGTTGGTTTCTTATGGCTGAATACTGAGCAGCCGTGGGCCTGGCATCTGACGGTGCCATCAGCTCATGCAGTGTAGCAGGCACCGTCCCCCGCGTCGCTCAGTGACCCAGAGCAGCTCTGCACTGTCTGCAGGGAGAGAGCAGATCCGATGAGCAGAGGTCGTTAGCCTCAGTGACGGACGCAGCCAGGCGCGCTGTGGTCACCAGCAGACGGGGTGGTGAGGAGGGTGTACTGGAAACACCAGGACCAGCGGTAGGAGGAGGTGGCCAGAGCGCCTCGCCACGTGACCACGAGATCAGTGGGCTACGGGTCCTTTCAGTGACGGGCCCTGTCCGTCACCTGCTCGCAGCCTCTTACCTGACGGCCCATTCCAGTGCCATAGGTTCACTCTGCCAGCCGGATCTTGTGTTTGGGAGACAAGTAGCTTCAATCTGTAAAATTCACTTTTATGGGCATTTGTGAAGAATATGCTAGTTTTGGTAGCCACGTGTTTTGATCTAAAAACATGCAGAACCTGGCCTGGTCGTTGCTGTGGCTGCGGGTCAGTATCCTTGTGAATCAGATCCTTTTTGCTCAAGAAAAACCTGTCTCCGCTCGTTTCCTCGTAAGGTCCCAGTAGCACCGCACTCCCACCTTCCCGCGGCCCTGACCTACACGGGCACCTAGCCTTTCTGGTCCCCGCCCTCGTGTGGGCACAGTGCCTCTGGCTGAGGCGGCAGTTAGAGCGTCTCCCTGGCCTTGGATGGACAAAGTGGTTGGCAGTTCTGGTGGCGGAAGCCACGGGAGTTGCGTGTGGTAGTGGGTGATCACCCCCAGGTGGGGGCCTCGTGGAGCCAGCACTGCACAGCCTTGCCCGGTATGTGGCCTTTGACCCCTCTGGAGCTTTTCCGCCAATTTAAATGGTTTGGTGGAATTATGTCTGGACGGAGTGCCTTGAACGCTTTGTCCCGGAAACCTTTCCATGGTGACCTGCTCAGCGGTCTTGGAATGTAGGGTCAGAGGACCAGGGTTTGTGACGGCAGTTGGTGCGGGATTCTGGAATGATGGTCTGCGTCGAGCGTGGAGGATTTGTTGGCTTGTTGCTTGGTGGTAACTGTCCTGTTCTGCATTGTTACTTTGTAGGGAGACATGAAAAGCAAAGTCGTCATCGCAGAAAAAGAAGCCGAGGCAGCAGAGGAGCCCGCCCCCCGAGGGATCCCCGAGTTCTGGTTCACCATCTTCAGAAACGTGGACATGCTGAGCGAGCTGGTCCAGGTTAGCACGCTCCGTCCTGGTCTTACGACTGCGTGTGAGCTCCTCGGGGGTTCACTGTAGGGGAAAGGCACTCCTGGGACCCCCAGTCTGGAGAAGTCGTGGCCTCACAGGAGGGTTATTCCTGGTGGGGACCCCAGTCACACCTACTGCAGCTGGAGTGGGAAGCCTGCAGCCTGAGCCAGAGCCCTGGGTCAGTTCACCTCCTGGGAAAGGGCTGCTGCCTCACCCAGAAAGCCTGTCCGCAGGTTCCAGACGCCTTTCCATTTTTTTTTTGGTCTTTGTTTTGTTTTTTAATTTATTGATTTCAGAGAGGAAGAAGGGAGGGAGGGAGGGAGGGAGGGAGGGAGAAAGAGAGAGAGAGAAGTAGAAACATCAGTTTGTTCCACTTACTTACGCACTTATTGATTGCCCTGTGTGTGTGCCCCGATTGGAGATCGAACCTGCAACCTTGGCGTATCGACCCTAATCACCCAGCTAGGGCAACCCTTCTCCATGTCACTGATGTGGACAGGCGGGAAGTGAGGGGTGAAAATGTGTGCGTGTGTGTGCATGTGTACACACAGTTGCACTGACACATACTTATTACACTTCTCCGTTGGTGGGTATTTGAACTATGAAACAGGCCTGTCGTGCAGTCTCCGTGGGCCGAGACTCAGGAAAGGATGTGAGGAGTGCATTTCCTGCTCCCCTTCAACTGACAGGGCGCGTCTGAGACAGGCGGCTTGCGACAGCATGTTTTCCTGTCTGACCCTCCTTTTCATGCACAAGTTCAGGTCGGGGTTTCAGAAAACCAGACCGTGCCACACGTCAGAAATTCATTGGGAAAATTGAAGACTCTATGGCAGACCTCACCCAGACTGCTTTTTAGAATCACCTGGGCAACTTCTTGTTTTTTCCCCAATATATTTTTGATTTTGGAGAGGAAGGGAAGGGGCGGGGGAGAGAGAGAGAAACATCCATGATGAGAGAGAATCATGGACCGGCTGCCTCCTGCACGCCCCCCACTGGGGATGGAGCCCACAACCCGGGAATTGTGCCCTGACCGGGAATTGAACCGCAACCCCCTGGTTCATAGGTTGACACTCAACCAATGAGCTACGCCAGCCAGGCACCTGGGCAACTTTTAAAGCTCAGTAGCAAAGAAAAACAAAACAAAAACAACTCAATAGCAGCCTCAGTGCCTCTGCTTCTCCACGTCCCTGACAGTCCCAGGTGTGGGTAGAAGTTCCCGGATTCTGGGGTGCCCAGGGTGGGAAGTCGCCACAGAGCAGAGCCAGTTAGCTCTCTCAGACCTCGGTAGCTGTGCCCATCCCGGGGCACGCAGGGCCCGATTTCTCAGGTCTGGGTGGGCCTGGGGCTGCTTTTCTGATGTGCTGCTGGGTGGGGCACGCTGTGCGTGTGGCAGGCTTGTCATGATGGGGCTTTTGGTGCCAGTAGGTGACTTGCTTGGTGACCTGGCTGTTGGTGCTGGGTAGCCGTCCAGGGATGGTGTGGCTGCTACTTGCACGCATTTCCTGGTGTTGAGGGCAGTAGCTGAGGCCTACGTCAGTGAGGTGTCTCCTTCATTCTCCCAGCACCTCTGTATCACGGCCTACTTCGGTGTGTAGGCCGCAGAGCGTCTTAAAGCTGTGGGAAGACAGGCTGGCATCTCCAGAGTGTTTCCTATCGGAGGGAGTAGTGAAAGGTCGTTGGCACTGACCTGACAGTGTCTGGCCGGAGGGGCCATTCGGGTCAGATGTTAATTCCTGAAGATGGACTCGACTGAGTGCTTGGTGCTCTGCGTGGGGTGGCAGAGCGGATGCTGCAGGAGAGTTTAGACCAGTGATGGCGAACCTATGACACGCATGTCAGAGGTGACACGCGAATTCATTTTTTGGGTTGATTTTTCTTTGTTAAATGGCATTTAAATATATGAAATAAATATCAAAAATATAAGTCTTTGTTTTACTATGGTTGCAAATATCAAAAAATTTCTATATGTGACACGGCACCAGAATTAAGTTAGGGTTTTTCAGAATGCTGACACGCCGAGCTCAAAAGGTTCGCCATCACTGGTTTAGACGCAGTGGTTCTCAACCTTCTGACCCTTTAAATACATACAGTTCCTCATGTTGTGACCCAGCCATAAAATTATTTTTGTTGCTACTTCATAACTGTAATGTTGCTCCTGTGATGAATCGTCATGTAAATATCTGATATGCAGGATGGTCTTAGGCGACCCCTGTGAAAGGGTCGTTCACCGCCAAAGGGGTCGCAACCCATAGGTTGAGAACTGCTGGTTTAGAGGGTCCGGACAGCAGCTTCCACTCAGCCCCCCCGTGGTGCCCAGGGCCTAGCTTATGGGCCCCTAGTTCTGAGCCTGTCATCAGGACGTTGGGCTCCGCTGGGACCACGGAGTTCCTGTCCTCGAGGCCTGGGAGGAGCATGGTGTTATTTCAGGGACTTGGGACGTAGCAGAGGGCACTGCGGATTGAGGGAGGAGTGGGACGGTCCCACATGAGGGCATCTCGCTGGGCAGCATACTGTGGTGACGTTCCCCTTGGCATTCAGCACGAGGCAGGGCACACCAGGACGTGCAGTCTGGGCCAGGTGTTCTCTGGAGGCGGGATCTGACATCTCGGACTGCGGTCCCTTTTTGTCTAGACTTGGTATGTGCCTGTGTTGCTGGTTTTTTGTAGTTGTTCTGTGTTAAAAGAATTCAAAATTAGGAACTTGATGTTTATCAGGCTCAATTCTTAGAACTCAGTGGAACCTCAAGAAATCTTTTAGTTCAGTCCCCAGACTTCAGGGGCAAAGAAAGAACAGGCCAGTGTGGCTCAGTGAGTTGGAGCATCAGCCTGGGCACCAACAAAGGTGGCGGGTTTGATCCCTGGTCAGGGTGCACACAGGAGTCACCCTGTCAGTGTTTCTCTCTCTCCCTCTTTCCTCCCTTCCTCTCTCTCATAATAACAAGAAGTCACTTTCACAGGTGAGCGCCTCTCGGTAGGATGTGGTTGCTGGGTTTCGAGTCTCGTCATCCTCTTGTGGTTGGTCTCTCTCGGACTTTCTCAGATGCAGACATTGGTGACTGCGTGTGACTGACGCAGAGTGAAAGCGTGCAGCCATGTTGGAAGTCCTCATGTGATGCCTGAGCTGTGGATCTCAGACATGCCTCGTGTGTGTTGTTGACGCTGAGTGACTGCTGTGGGTTCGGGAGATGTATTGCCACATGCCAATGGCCGTGTGATGGGGGTGGCTGCCGTGGCCGTAGCTGATCCAGGTGGTTCCTGTGGTTCTGTCTCTTCAGAGATGCTCCGGACCGGCCTGCTGGGGGGCGGCACCTCGGTCCCAGGCACAGGGCCCTGTGAGAGCAGCCGGGGCCCTGGTCCCAGCACTGAAGGTGCTGCTCTCAGACCAGCTGTCGGGCAGCAGCTTGGGTGGCTCCCTGGAGTCAGGACTTGGCCAGGAGAGGACCCACCAGGGCCCCTCGCCCACCACCAGGAGGGACGCAGCAGCCACTCTGCAAGGACGCGTGCTGTTCTCAGAAAGCTCAGGTTTTGTGTTCCTCTTTGTGTTTAGGAATATGATGAGCCGATCTTGAAACACCTGCAGGATATCAAAGTGAAGTTTTCAGACCCTGGACAGCCTATGGTGAGTACTGATTGAGCTCCTGGTTGGTGCCGGGGGCGTCAGGCCACTGAAGGCGAAGAAAGGGCTTGGGTCCAAGGCGAGAAATCAGACCCGTCACTCACCTGCCAGGGGACCTGAGCGAGATGCTGGTGGGGATTAGGGCAGCATGGCAGGTCGCCCAGGCCGTCTGCTGGGTGGTGGCAGGTGCAGGGGTCAGGCCGGGCTGGACTCCCCTGTCCCACGTGGTGTCCGCTGAGGGGCTGTGGCTTCTCACTAGTTTGTTCCTCTACCATCCTTTCCCTGAGTGGCTCCTGGGTTTTTCGAGGATCTCATGTGTCTTTGAAATGGGTTTGAAAGGGTGGTGAGTATATACTCTCTTGAATAAGAGGGGCACTTTAACAGAAAACCTACTAGGTGTCTGTTCCAAAAAGCACCTGCAGGCTACCCTGGCTGGGGCCCTCATCTCATACATCAGAAGGTAGTGGTTTCGGCCCTAACCGGTTTGGCTCAGTGGATAGAACGTCGGCCTGCGGACTGAAAGGTCCCAGGTTTGATTCCGGTCAAGGGCATGTACCTGGGTTGCGGGCACTTCCCCAGAAGGGGGTGTGCAGGAGGCAGCTGATCCATGTTTTTCTCTCATGGATGTTTCTAACTCTCTATCCCTCTCCCTTCCTCTTTGTAAAAGATCAATATATATATATATATATATATATATATATATATATTTTTTTTTTTTTTTTATTTAAAAAGGTAGTGGTTTTGATCCCCAGTTAGGGCACACACCTAGGCTAAGGTTTGATCCCTAGTCAGGGTGTGTACGGGAGGCAACTGATGGATGTTTCTATCTCACATCAATGCTCCCCTCTCTCTTCTTCCCTCCCTCCCTCCCTCCCTTTCTCTTTATCCAAAAAAACAATAAAAACATATCTTTGGATGAGGATTTTTAAAAAGAACAACCTGCAGATAAGACTGAAAACATGCTCGCCTGCTCTGATGTGTCACAAACCCCTTCCCAGAACCCCTGAGACAGACAGCGTGTTAGTGTGGGGGGTGGTCTGCCTGCCATTAGGCCCAGCCAGCCCTCCCTCTCCCCTGGGAGCAGTTGGAAGGCGCATCCGTCCAGCTGGGCTGGGCTCCCAGGAGCCCTGCGCGTGGCCTGTCCGTCTGGCGGTGGCTGGCGGGCTCCCTCCAGAGCCGCCGCAGGTCAGTGGCGGGACTGACTGGCTCGCTGGTGGCTCTTCTCAGGTCTTGGAGACGAGCACCGGGCTGTGGGCTGGGGACCTTGGCCAGGAGCTGGCCCGGGTCTCCCCTCCCCGCCCTCCCTGTCACAGCCCGGCCCCAGGGAGGGCACGAGGGCCCGGGTGAGTGGATTTCTCTCCCTCGTGCTGCAGGTGGGACCGGGAGACATGCCCATCTATGTCCCTTCCCTTCCCTGTCTGCCGAACTCCCGAGGGGACATCCGCTCTCCCTCTGCAGGGGAGGTGTGGGCATGAGCCAGAGATGCCTGCTCCAGGCTGAGGGCCACTCTGGTGGCAGAGGTGACCCCTTTTCTCCTACTGCAGCCTCTGGGGTGGCCTGGGGCCCTCCTCTCAGCCTCTCCCCTAGTCTGGGCTCCTCACTGTGAGAGGCTTGTAGCGCCCTCTGGGGACCACCTGCCGCCATGGCGGGCTGATACGATGTGAATGCTCTTTGCAGTGCGAGCACACTTGTAAGATGCTGTGAGTTTTTCCTTCCACTGCTTTCTCACCTGCCATTCATCCTTCCCTTGGTTCCCTTTCTTCTTTCTCGCCCACGTGTCGGATGTGGCTCCCCGAGGACTGGAGCCCGAGCGGCGTGGCCACGAGCCAGTCTTCCTCGTGAGTCCTGTGTGCTCACTCTACGAACTTAGAGAACACGCGGCAGCCTCCAGCGGCTAGAGATACGCCACCGCCTGCTCCCCTTAGTCTTACCCTGTCAGGTCATTATGAGCCATCTGAGACATTAAAGCTGCAAAGGAGACCCACCTCGCTTCAGAACGAAGGGGCCAGCCGCACCTGCTTTTCCCTCTCCGCGCCACTGCTCTGACGTGGCAGCAAGGGGCGTGAGAGCGAGCGCGTGCAGACACTGTCGTGCTGCTCTTCCCACGCCACACGCGCTCTGCTGGGCGGGACAGCGTACTTAACTGCCCCTCTTGGTGTAGATGGTTACGTAGCATTCCCTGTAGGCCCCCCCCTCCCCCGTTCTGAATGGTTGCCTCGTGGTCAGCATCCTGGAACCCGGGTCTTTAAGCTTCTGACAGTCCTTTTAGTGTAATGGCTGGGCCGCTGGAGGGGAGTGAGCATCAGTGAGGCCCAGAGGCGGTCAGTTCCGCTCCTCCTGGCACTGTGTCTTACACTTCCTTTTTGTATTAATAACCTGTACTGGTTTCTATTTTGAAATAATTTCAAGCAGCACAGAGAATTCCACGGGGCTGTCTGAGGCAGGACTGCTCCTACTCTCGGTGTGACTGGTGAAGACAGTAGTCCCGCCTCTGCTGCTGGGCAGAGAGCACCATTAACTGACGTGTGGGATGGGGGCACGAAGGCGGTGCCCTCCCCCCTGGGCCCTTTTTGTTGGTCCATTAAACACCTTAATTCACCCCAGGGCGTTTGGGTTATTCTAGATAAACAGAGGCCATGGGGAAGAAAAGTCAGAAAATAGGAAGAAAAGAAATGACACTGGGTGGGGAGGACGTGGGGCGGGAGGGGAAGGGGAAGAACTCTCCCCGGACAGGACAGGTGCGGAGGGGCCGACTCCAGCAGAAGGCTCGTTGGCCCAGCCCGCCCGCATTGTGGTCATGGCCACAGTGGCCCCTCCCACCTCCATCTTCATGCTGGGAGGGAGGGACAGGGACCCGGTTCCCCGAGGCTGCCTGCCTGTCCTGCTCAACTTGGACCTGCCAGACCAGGGACTTGAATCTGTTGACCATCCTTCCTCTCCAGCCTACACGGCTCTGGCAAAGGTCAGTGGACATCCCCTGGCCAGAGCCTGCGCCATCCCTTCTAGACACTGGACGTGGGTGTTCCCCAGGCTCTGACCCCCTGTGTCTGCCCTTGTGCTGTCGTGGCCTTTTTCCCCCTTCACCCCCTCTTTGGAGAGCCCTGTTTCACTCCCCTTTTGTGTCCTAAGTGCTGCTTCCATGGGTCAATCTTCAACTCGGGGGGAGAGGTGTCACTTCCACTCCCGAAACCACTCAGCGCTCCGAGCAGTGGGGTTGCCCCAGGCGGCCTGAACCCAGACTTGGCCTTCACAGACGCTCCTTACCTCACGCACCAGGACCGGCTTCTTTGTCCGTTACGAACGGGCGGAGGGGAACGCGTGAGCACAGATTCCTGCCTCCCTTCAGCATCTCAAGTAGAATGCGTTCCTCAAGATAGTGGTATGAGGTCACAGGTGGCTTTTTTAGTTCATTAATTATTTTGATTTTGCCAAGTTGTCCTTCAAAACGCTATTTACAGTCCGACCAGTGTGGTTCAGTGATCGAGTGTTGATCGAGGAAACAAGAGGTCACGGGTTCAATTCCTGGTCAGGGCACGTGCCGGAGTGCAGGCTCGATCCCCAGTAGGGGGCGTGCAGGAGGCAGCTGATCATGATTCTCTCTCATGGATGTTTCTGTCTCTCCCTCTATCATCTTCTTTGAAATCAATAAAAATAGATTTTTAAAAAATTTATAGCCCTGGCTGGTTTGGCTCAGTGGATAGAGTGTCAGCCTGTGGACTGAGGCGTCCCGGGTTCGATCCTAGTCAAGGGCACATGCCTGGGATGCGGGCTTGAGCCCCAGTAGGGGGCATGCGAGAGGCAGCCGCTCCGTAATTCTCTCTCATCATTGATGCTTCTGTCTCTCTCTCCCTCTCCCTTCCTCTCTGGAATCTATCTAAAGAAAAAATATACTGGAAATTTGTAAAGCCATTTGCCTTGTGTGAGTGCTGCTGGTTCCCCAGAACACTGGCTAGTCGCTGTGTCTTCTTACTTCTCCTTCGCTTCGGTGCCCGAGTGTGAGTGTCCTCTGTTGGCTGTGGCTGCTGCGTGCACACCTGGGCCCATTCCCCGTGAGGCTGTCTCCAGGGTGTGGACTGCTCCGTGGCCGTGGCCGCAGGGACGTGTCCCGGCTGTGGCTTGTGTTTCCTTTTCTCCCCCACGGGTCTGGCCACTTTCACTGCGGAGCAAGGACAGCCGCTCTGCCTGCCTCCCAGGGACGAAGGAGAGGAGGGCGGGGCTGTCTGCCCAGTTTCTCCCTCCAGACCCTCCACCGCACCAAGAGCCCGGCCTCCCCGGGAGGAGACGCACACGCCCCGTCACTGCCTTCCCTTTGTGCCGCTGCTTTTTGCAGTAAAGACGTTTCTCTCGTCACGTAGCCACACTGTGGGCTTCTGCCTGTGGGTCCTGCTGGGGGGGAGCTGGTTCCCCGGAAGCACGGTGTGGCTCATCAAGTCTGTCGCTGGGTATCTGTAGACCAGGGGTCCTCAAACTTTTTAAACGGGGCCAGTTCACTGTCCCTCAGACCGTTGGAGGGCCGGACTATAGTTTAAAAAAGAAGTATGAACAATTCCTATGCACACTGCACATATCTTATTTTGAGGTAAAAAAACAAAACGGGAACAAATACAATATTTGTATTTGCGTGTGGCCCACGGCCGTAGTTTGAGGACCCCTGCTGTAGAGTTTCGGGCACTCACCCTGCGTTTCTGTCTTCAGTCTTTTGTGTTAGAGTTCCACTTTGAGCCCAACGACTACTTCACCAATTCAGTCCTGACCAAAACGTACAAGATGAAGTCCGAGCCGGATAAGGCCGACCCCTTCTCCTTCGAAGGCCCTGAAATAGTTGACTGTGATGGGTAAGGAATGACGTTTCACCTTTTTTCTCGGCAGCGAAACTGGGAGGTGACTTGAGAACTGCGTCAGAGAGAAATGAGGGCGAAGCAGGAAGCCTTTCACTTGCCCTGAAGCCCAGTGGGCGAAGAGGAAGTCGTTTTCTGTGGGGGATGTGATGGCAGCGCTGGGAAGTGTGTCACGTGGACACATGGGAGGCTTTGGGGCAGTGGCCCGGCTCCTCATTTTCCTGAGGGGATCGGGTTCCCCGGCCCCGTCCGTCCGGCTGTGGCCGGCAGCCCGCATGAGTCGGCGCAGAGCAGTGCGCCAGGGGCTGGCTTTGCAGATGGGGTCAGCGTGCTTGTCCTTGGACTCGGGTTGAGCACCTTGGCGACTCCAGTCTGTAGGTCCCCAGGGAGGGAGTGTAGTTTGAGTTGTTCCTCTTGGGCAGTTGGAGATGCTTGGGACTGGTTTCTCCGAAACTGAAACGTTATTTTACCCGCTGGGACCTCGTGCTTGTCCTCATGACCCTCCGTCTGAGTAATTCAGACCTCAAAGTCCTCGTGACTCAGTGGCGAGGGTTAGAAAGGGCCACTGTCCGGGCCGCCCTGGTGACAGGAGGCCTGGCTTTCCGGTGCTTCTAGGGCCAGCACCGTCCAGGTGCTGTCAGGTGTTACCTGTGGTCCAAGGTGGTTCAAGGGCTAGAAAGCAGCTGTGCCCCACCCACCACGCAGCACACGGGGAACTGCTGTGTTGTGTCCGGGTCCTCGGTATTGGCGGGGGTCACCTTCCTTTCTCCAGCTTGTCCCACTCAGTTCAGTTGCCTTGAGAATTGGGATTTGAGTGGTGACTTCAGGTGCACTCGGGGAGGGTGGGGGGGCTGTCCAAGGGCAGCAGGTGACAGGCTCTGGAGGTGCCTGTGCCCAGCCTTGATCGGGGTTGTTCACAGAAAACACGCTGCAGCGTCTGGGCTGACGCACACAAGCCTCCAGCCGAGGAGGCCTGGGGTACTGGTGCCCTTGCCCTGCAGAAGCCCGAGCTTGAGGCACTGCTTTGTCAGGGTGGTGGCAGGCAGCCCGTTTCTGTCACTGCCTGCAGGTGAGCTTCATGCGCGGTCATGCTTGCTTGCAGGTGGGTTTATGAAACTGTCCAGGTTAAGCGTAGAGTCGTGGTTTGCTTGTTCTCTGCACTGTGGTCGGCTTTTCTCATGAAGTGTGTGTTGATGGCTGTCGTGCCCCTGCAGGTGCACTATTGACTGGAAGAAAGGAAAAAACGTTACCGTCAAAACGATCAAGAAAAAGCAGAAACACAAGGGTCGAGGCACCGTCAGAACCATCACCAAGCAAGTCCCCAATGATTCCTTTTTCAACTTCTTCAGTCCGCTGAAAGGTGAGGGGTGTCCCCTGCTTCCCGGAAGGCCCTGTCCTGCCGCTCAGCTTTTACCAAAGACCTGCTGGCGGGCATCTGTCCTACTGACCCAGAGAAATCAGAGAGGGTTTTTGGTGTTTACGAGAGAAGGTGAGAGGTGACAGCATTCAGCGTTTCTTTTACATGAGCCGTTGCTGGGACGGCGGCACCTCGAGCCCGTTCCCAGGACCACGCTCAGCACCTTCGCCTCCAGCCCCGGCTCCGGCGGCGGGTCCTGGGCTTTGCCCGTGATCCTGTGCCTTTGTTAGCAGGACACACACTAAGGTGTGAGCAGAGCCTAGGAGCTCCGCAGGGTGACGCTCAGCGTAAGGTTGGACGGAACGTCCATCTTTATGAGCAAAATAAAGACGCAGTGTGTGTGCTGATCTTGCCTGCACCCGCCATCCGTACCATGTGTAGGCACAGGGCACCTTGAAAGCAGCCAGGGCTGGTGCTGCCAGCAGCGAAGTGGTGACTGGTGGGTAAAGTGCCACTCGAGATTGGCAGGTATGCAGAGTGTGTATTTATCACATCGTCCTGCTTGTACCGTATGTCGGCGTTATTTTAGGCCCTGTGTGCCATTTGGTATGATTTGTAGGTTATTTTTTGGTTCTGAGAACACAAAAACATTTCCGTCTAAATGAATGATAGTTGCTTCTTGGCTTTCTGCCTTTCCGCTTAAGAACAGTTTTGTAGGAACCCTCTGCCTTTGGGTAGCGGGGCCTGTGCTTCTGTGAAAGAGCTCGTAGCCCCAGGGTCTGTCCTGCCCCTGCGAGCTGGGCTGGTAAGGGGATGGCACTGTGTCAGAGGCACCTGTGCTCACGGGTGCAGGGGGGCAGCATGGGGCCCTGGCAGCAGGACGGGAGGACAAGGCGGCACCCCAGGCTCCATGGTAGGAAGCTCAGAGTGCCTGCAGGGCCTCCCACGCCTCCCTCCGTCTCCAGGCTGCTCGCAGCCCCTGCGCTGCAGCTCTGCCCCAGCCAGGACTTGGTGGGGCCGGGGCGCTTGGAAATGTTCCTGTCGTGGCGCTCCGTGTGTGCATCTCCATTGAGGGGCACTTGAGGCCGAAGCAGAGCTTGGAAGCTTCTGTTTCGAGTGTTGTTTCCCCCGAGCGATAACGTAAAGATGGGCCTCGAGCTGGAAAGGCGAGCTGCTGGCTGTGAGAGTAAACTATTGGGACACCTCAGTGTAACTTTCTAACCCCGAGAGAACGTGAGGCGGGGCAGTTGGCTGTGTCGGCACGGGTACGAGGAAACGAGAAGACCCATTGGCTCTTTACCTTCCACGCTTAAAGCCAGGCTGAGATGACGAGCTGCGGCCCTGCCGCGGACCGGGCGCCTCCGGGCTGTCATTCCGGCGCCTCACGCAGCTCCTCAGGCCTGAGCCGTTGGCTTTGACCTTGTCTCTGAGCTCGTGCCCCTTCGTCCAGCTCCCGCTCAGCTCGCAGCCCTGTCTCATCGTTGTGGCTGTTTTCTGCGATTTGTCTTTGAGCCCAGAAGGTGTCGGTGTGTGTTGGTTTGGGGGTAAGAACAGCCATGACTGTGCTCCCTTAGTGTCCCTGTTTGGGAGATCCCTCGGGAGCCTGCTGGAGTCATGACACAGAGGCGCTTTGGGGGAGTTTCCTTAAAACTGGATTTAAAATACTTGATAAAATCAAAATGGAAAGAAGTAGACTCGCGGGCTTGGGGATTGATCCTTTGTGGGGGTGGTTTCTGGAATTGTGGTGGTGGCTGCACAACACCAAGTGTACCAGGCAACATTCAACTGCACACCTAATGGGGGAGACCTTTATGGACGTACATGATAGCTTCAGTTGCTATTTTCAAAGCAATCACATGCACATCACTACACGGGATGAGCTCTGTGAAAACAAGGTGAGAGTGGGAGGCAGGGATGGGGTAGCCAAGAAAAACATCAACATTGATGACATGATTTTTGAAATGAAGGAAACATAAAATGGCCAGTCCAGTGGCCTCTGTGTCCTTAAACCCACAAAACGGGTCCAGAGGTCACGTTGGTGGAGGTCCTTGTGCTGATCCCTAACCCTCAGGCCGGGCCCTCAAATCTGAACCTTAAACAGCCGTGGGGTGCTCGTGTGCCAAGGCTTGGGGACCGCTGCCTCGTGGGTGGTGTTTCGACCCTGGCACTTGGGCCTCCGCCGTCTCCACAGTGGCTGGCACTGCACAATCTCTGCAGCGGCCTCGCTGTGACGGCCTCGCTGTGACGGCCTCGCTGTGATGGCCTCGCTGCACGGCCTCGCTGACAGCCAGGGGAGAGGCGGAGACTCCAGAGGATGGACAGGCAGGGCTGAGGCCTGCAGTTCAGTGAGGGCCTCGGACCAGCACCGCTAAGATTAGGGATTCGAATCCCTTGATCATTTGAATGTCACTGGGCTTCACTAAGGGCGGATTTAATGACTGGTTTGCCTGTCATACTCAGTTGAGCCCAGTCTGTCGTGTGTGGAACCTAATCTCAGCGTCCTCTCTGGGGTGGGCAGTGACAGTGACTCCCGGCCCACAGGGCAGTTCCTCACGTGCAGGAAGGTGTCGGCGTGTTCGCTCCTTCCTCCTCCACACAGACAGGAGTGCAGTGCTGACCTCTCTGGGGTGGGGAGCTCAGGGCCAGTCCCCTTGTCTACTGCACGGTCACGTGAGGCTTTGCAGGACACGAGTTGAAGCTCTACTCACAGCGCAGGCGCACTCGTGGCCACAGCCGCCACGTAGCCACCTTTCCACCCGTTAATCCTGAACTGCTGTCAGGGCCTCAGAAGGTTGGCATCCTGCATCTGGGGGCCCGCCCAGGGCCCAGGCATGCGGGGAGCGGGCACAGGTGCTGTGGGCGCCCACCAGCAGGTGCGGGGAAGGCTGAGCTGGGAGGTGCTCGCTTTCTCTGCAGCTGTGCTTCCTGTGGGGCCGGCGTTTGCTTCTCACTGTAACCGGGTGTGTTTTGTTTTTTCCAGCGTCCGGGGATGGAGAATCGCTGGTAAGATTGTGTCGTTACTGAAAGCCTCTTACTGGCTGTAGAGTGCATTTCCTCAGTAGTTACCTACCTTCTCTGTAACCTGTTCCTCTTCCCGGAACCCGGGGGGGGGGGGGGGGGGCGGGTTTGTGTTCACTGCCCTCTGTTCCCCGTTGGGCTGCACTTTGCTGCCTCCCTGCCATTGCACTGCTGTGCCTTTAAAGCAGCTGAACCTCGTGGCCTGTCACCGGGCAGGGCTGGCCCTGGGGCTGTAATCCCGTTACCGGGGCGGGAATGTGAGAACAGTGTCAGTCCCGCTGAAAGGAGTGACCACGTCGGCTTCCCTCGCAGGATGAAGATTCCGAGTTCACGCTGGCCTCCGACTTTGAGATCGGACACTTCTTCCGTGAGCGGATCGTCCCGAGGGCCGTGCTGTACTTCACGGGGGAGGCCATAGAGGACGACGACAATGTATGTGTCTGCGGAGCCCGGCCCAGGACACATGGCTGCTGTTGGTGTTCAGGGGGACGTGGAGGGAACGGAGAGGTCACCGCAGTGGGGGAGGCAGGTGGTCCCTGTCAGCTTTGGGTCACTGCCAAACAGGAGGGACCCTCATTCACAGAGGTCTGACCGCACCACGCGGTCATCAGCAGCAGAGCCAGTTCGTGCTGGCCTGTGGCTCCGTGACCTCAAAGGGGTGCGGGCCGCGCTCTGCAGAAAGATCGCTGCGCGGAGACGAGCCGTCCCCAGCCAGAGTGGGGGTGGCCCCGAGCACACCTCCCAGGACCTACCAGTCCTGTGTCCATCACCTCCTGATTACTGGTCACAAAGTTCTGTTGTGTTCAGTATGTGTGTGTATATATTACTGACTTCAGAGAGGAAGGGAGAGGGGGAGAGAGAAATACCAGTGATGAGAACCAGTAACGGGCTGCCTCCTGCACACCCACACTGGGATCGAGCTGCAACTGGGCCTGTGCCCTGACCAGGAATCGAACCCTGACCCCCTGGTTCATAGGTTGACACTCAACCCACTGAGCCACGCTGGCCGGGCCCCAAGTTCTGCTGTGTAGCTTGTTGCTGGAGGGGCGCTTCAGGTGATGTTCATGCCTTGCTTTTAGAGCTCTGGCGGCTCCTGGTGCCTCCAGGTTTCCTTGCTTGTGAGGTCTGCTCCCTTGCACCTGTCGCCATGCAGGCCTGCTCCCTTCAGTCTTCTGTGCTGAAGGCCCTGCTGGGCTGTGTGGTTCGGGCGGGAGGGCGTTGTGGGCTCGGGTACGTGTCCACACAGCTCGGCCCGTGCTCGGCCACGTCACGTGCTTGCGAAGACTTAGGGTTTAGGAAATGCTGGTCACACGACAAAGTGAAGGCGGGAGTTCTGGTGTGTCTTCCATCTTCTGGGTCGTCTTGCTCGTCCCAGGGGCTGTGCGCCCCCACATATAACCAGCTCTACCAAGTGTGAGATGGGTGGAGACAGGCCTCTGAGATCTCTCTAAAGGAGGCCCCCATGAAAGGGTGCCCGTAGAAGCTCCGCAAACCCATTCCTGAGCCTGTTGGAGACATAAAATGATCCGTAGATTCCTGTGCTGCTGTGTGCTGAGCTCAGCATCAGCCAGTTTCCTGGTTGGCCCAGCACACCCAAGCTGGCAGTCTCCTTTCTTCACCCCCATTATTAGTCCTTTTGACTGGCATCCTATTAAAGGGGCAGGGCTTGTGAGCAAGCATTCCTGCAGTGCTGGCCCTGGCCAGCCGTGGCATGGTGCCCAGGCATGCCCAGCAGCAGATGGCTTGCAGCACTTGGCCTGGAGTCACGCTGCCCTCTGCTCAGTCCGAGCAGGATTGCCGGCCTTTCCTAGGCCTGACCAGTGGGCCCTGGACAGGGCAGTGTCGGTTGGATTGCCTCCACACTTTCAAAACCTAAACTGTGTTCCCTTCTTTTTCAGTTTGAAGAAGGTGAGGAAGGAGAAGAGGAGGTAAGGCCAGCTTGTATGTGGCAGCTCAGTGCCCCGGTGGGCGGGGAGGGGTTCGGCTTGCTCTGCGGAGGGGACAGCGTGTGAGCCCCGGGGCCTTGTTACATCCCTTTGTGTGACACGGCAGGCGTGGGCCCTGCTGAGAACTGCAGATAGGTGGCAGGTGCCGTGGCAGGTCCCGTTGGACCCTGCATTTGGCTGATGAAAAAGCTTCTTAGGAAATAATGGTTCAATCCACAGAATCAGCGATATGTTGATTTCAGGCCTAAGAACCAAAAGATACTCAGAAAAATTATGAGTCCAAAGGACGTAGTCAGTTGTGGGTAGCGATTGCTTTCCTTCTGAACTGAAGCATGACTCTAGTGTGAAGTCCTGTTCACTCCTCTCCACACAGGAGCTGGAAGGCGACGAGGAGGGGGAGGAAGAGGACGATGCCGACGCGAGCCTCAAGGTGAGTTGCTCTGGAACTGCCCACTCCCAGGCACCGGGCGAGGCACCTGGCGCGTTCCTCCAATTAGAACGGTGGCGGGGTGTCAGGAACACGAGCGGGACTGCTCAGTGCCTGGAACGGCGGGTGTGCGAGTGGCCAGTGCCTCCTTCCCCAGCTCTGCTCGGGCTGTGTCCCTCGCCTGGTCTCGTGCTGGTGATGATGTCACTGGCACACAGTGCACTGGTGTACTTGTTTTTGGAAAGGATGCAAAGATGGCACTTTGGGGGGGGGGGGGCGTCCTTATTTTTTAAATAGAGGCATGAAAATGTAAGTATAATTTACAATTGTACTTGGGCTGAGAATGCTTAGAAATTAAGTCTAGATTTCTCATAATTTAAAATAAACTAGGAAGCTTTTTATAAAAAATGACAAAAATGAGTGAACAGCCCCATTAATTGTACTTGTGAGTCCGGAGTTGTACTCCTGCTCTTGATTGGCTGAAACCAGGTGCTTTGCCACTTGATGCGCACTAACTGCAGCACGGCCTCCCAAGGACTCGCTCCTCACGTCACCGGCCTTCGTAGCGCGCCTCTCGCTCACCGTGTGTGCGTGTCCCCGTCTTTCCCCAAGTGCATTGTGCCCGACGCTGTGCGTGCAAAGCCTGGTCTTGTCACCGTCTGTACCACCACGTGTCCCTGTGCACGCATGCTCACCGCGGGAGTTCCTGCTGGGGAACGAGGGGCGGGGGCAGACTGTAAATGCGCTCACCGAAGCGTTCATCGTTTCACAGTGGCCTGTCCGTCACGGTAACTATTCAACACACCTGTGCGCACCTGAGTGCCAGCTGGAGAGGCGCAGACCGGGGGCCTGGCCTTGAGTGCTTCACGCTTGGGGGACAGGAGTTGGGGGGTGTCTGTGAGTTAACAGAACTGGGTGGTGGTGACCCCTGACACTGCCGTGCCAAGCCCCAGGTGTGTTCTTTGCCCTGGGGCGCGGCTCAACGTCAGCGGGCGCTCAGCTCCTGTTGTTCCTCCTGGTGTCCGTCCTGTCCCCTCACGTCCTGTGTTCTGGGCACTGTCACCACATGGCACGTGACCTGGCAGAAGGGAGAGGATTGTTGGCACTCACCCCATGACGTCTCGAGGTGTTTGTTGGGAGTGGGTGGTGCTGTGAATGCTAGAACTGTCAGCCGTGTGGGCAGACGCAGGCTTGTCCTTGTGAGCCCCTGTCCCCCGTCCCCCTGTCCCCGTTCCCTCGTCCTCCCGTACCCCCGTCCTCCTGTCCCCCCGTCCTCTGTCCCACCCGTCTCCCTGTTCCCTCTGTCCCCTTGTCCTCCCATCCCCCTGTCCTCTGTCCCACCCGTCTCCCTGTTCCCTCTGTCCCCTTGTCCCCCGTCCCCCGTCCCCCCGTCCCTCTGTCAGATGGCACCTGTGCAGAGGCATTTGTTAGTCTGGGCGGCAGTGGAGAGTAGCAGAGTCGGGGAAGGCCAAGCTGTGCGTGGAGGCTGTGCTCAGCCGCAGCTGCAGCCCTTCCTTCCGTACTTGAGATGGGGCTGCTCCCTCCTGAGAGCGTGTGCGCTTCCTTTCCTCATGCTGACTGACCCTGCCTTTCCGTTTCTTTCCCCGTTTAGGTGTAATTTTTGTCTGTTAATCATGCGTTTCTAGGTAAGGTGGAATTCCATTCATTCCTAACTTCCAAATTGTTGATCTGTGCTTATGACAATGCTGTTGTGACGGGCAGAGCAGGCTGCTGTGCGGGTGCACGGGCCAGGCGGCCACGGGCCTCCTGACCAGCCCTCGTGTGTGGGGCCGTGTGCACCCGTGGAACTGGCCAGCCGCCACCACTCTGGGTCCTGCTTGCCAAGCCCAGTGTTTCTTGCTGCCCACGTAGCCAAGGGGTCACTGGTGTGGTGTTTTTCTCGACGACAGGACTGCCTTCCAGGAAGAGGACAGAGGGGAGGCTCTGGGAGGTGGGCAGTCTGCCGGGGCCTCCTGGAGGCAGTCTCGGCTTCCCCGCCCCTGCTGCTCCCTCAGTCCCTGTGCCTGTGCCACGCCTGCTCACAGGCAGTCGGAGTCGACCCCGCGATGTTTCTGGACGTGCCTCTGTTCCTTGTGCAGCCAGTTGGTAGTGGGGGGCCAAGCTTGTGCCAGTTTCTTACCTGAAAAGCGACTGCCGTGTGGTGTGGGCATTAGCACGTGTGTTGAGGTTTCTGCGGTTCTAACTCAGCGGCAGATCCAGCTGTTGGTCTTAGCAGCAGCAGCAGCAGCAGCAAGCCCAGGCCACTTGCAGGGGCGTGCGTCATCCTGGGCTCACCTGTGGACACTCAGCACTGCCAGGCTGGGGCGCAGCAGCGGGAGGAAGCGGGGAACCGGAGGCAGACACGCAAGCAGCGGGAAGTCGGGTTCTACGGCCAGAGGCAGTGGTTCCTGGGCTGTGCCTGTGAGAGCCGGGACTTCCTGTCAGAGGCGCCTGGTGCTGGTGCGAGTTCAGGTGGGGCCTTTGAGGGTCTGTCGCACTGTCCTGTCACATTCGTGGGGGCGCAGAGCGGGCTGAAGGTGCATCCACAGTGAAGAGAGGATCTGGGCGCTAGGTCAGGGCCACTCACCTGCCTGCGTGTTGGCATTGCTGCGCCCACGTGTCTGAGGAGCTTGGCTGCCAGGTTGCACCTGAAGCTCACTCCCCACCTGCCGGCTCCTCTGAGCGTCACGAGCTGTGCAGCCTGGGCTTGGAGCGGAGGACCTGGGTGACCGGAGCGCCATGCCCAGCGGCGCTTGTTAGCCGCTCAAGCCACCCTTCTGTGGTCCCCGGATTGGCAAGGTTTGGGCTATAAGTTTGTGCCTTTGAAACACCAACTCCTCTGCCTTGATCATCGGCATGGAGTGACCACGCTGCCATCACACTGGCATGAAACAGGAGGCTCGGCCTGCATTCTGTTTTGTCCTGTGTCCACAGCCCCTCCTGGCCTTGGTGTGGGCGAGGACTCTTCCTCTAGCGTCTTCACAGCCACGCGGGGGTGGCGTTTAGACCAGCAGGCAGCTCGTGCCCCCTGCGTAAGCCACAGTGTAGCTGACAGCGTCCCTGCGTCACGTGACATGGTGTGTCGTTTATGTCGAGGCGGCGGGGAAAGCCCCCTGTCACCTCTGCAGGCTCCTGAGCACTCTGCTCCGGCCGCAGCTCGGGGCCAGCACGCGGCTCTTCCCCCGAGAGGACGCTGCTTGGTGCTGAGCTCTGTCGGCTCGGATTGCAGGTCGGTGTGTTGTGTTGGTGTTTCAGTGACAGGGCAGGGCCCCCAGCCCCGAGAGGCCTGCCACCAGCCCTGGGCAGGGCTGGGCAGACACAGGGCCAGCCTGTGGGTCCCGGCTTGTCCTGTGCTCCTTCCATTTCGTGTGCTAATCGGGAGCTTGGACCCGGGTCCGAGGCTGCTGCTTGTCTGTATGCCTCCTTTACGTGCACGTCATCCCTTAAACGTGATTCCCAAAGACCAGCTGGAGCCCAGCTCACACCTGAGGGTGTCGGCGGCAGCGTCCCAGGTGTTTCTTCTCGGCCCTGGGTGCTGAGGCCATCATAGGCATGCCGGATGGGTTCCTGAGAGGTTGGTAATCTTAGCTCGGACGGATGGGTGCACCCGCTCTGCTGCCCACAGCATTTGTGAGGCGCAGGTGTAGTTCCAGTGGTCAGATTACACACGACAGCTCACACTGAAGTGGTTCAGGGCTGGGGGGACTCCCCTCTACCTTATCTGGAAGGATAGGTTTCCCACTTGGGGGCTCCTGGGAGGGTGGCGGCTTGTCTGTGGATCTTGGAGTCGTGGCTTTCCGGGCATTCCTCATTATCAAGGAGAGGGGCCCCGAGGAAGAGGCAGCCCCCCCGGGCGTGGGGCTGGGACAGGAGCCCGTCCAGATCCAAGTGTGGACCCTGTCGGGGGAGGGGGTGTTGTGCTGACTCACCGGGCAGTGCCTGGGCACCCAGAGCCCCCGGCTGCCTTCCAGCCTGGGAGCGGGTCTCCTGTCACTTGCTGACAAGTGGGCCGCTCTGCCCGGGCCTCCCGCTGCCTTGCCCAGAATGAGAGGGTCTCACGGGCCTTTTAAACAAAACAGGCAGCTCTGCTGTGGCATTTCTCCGGGAGGTTGGCTTATATTTTTATTACTTTTTAAAATATATATGTTCTGACTTCAGAGAGGAAGGGAGAGGAAGAGAGAGAAACATCAATGATGAGAGAGAATCATGGATCGGCTGCCTCCTGCACGCCCCACTCTGGGGATCGAGCCTGCAACCCGGGCCTGGGCCCTGACCTGGATTCAGTCTGGTGACCTCCTGGTTCATAGGTCAACGCTCAACCACTGAGCCACACCAGCTGGGCTTGTTACTGTTTTACAGGCCTGTTAGTGCACAGTTGAGTGTTGGTTTCCTGGTGGTGGGACATGGTGGAGGGACGTGGGCGATTCACAAGCCTCTCTCTCTTGTTGGCAGAAGGAGCCCAGCCAGCCCTCGGAGTGCAAGCAGCAGTGAGCAGCGACCTGTCGGCAGCGCCCACACCGACCTTGTTCAAGTGCATGGTTTTCACTTCACTTCCTCTTTCCTTATTATTTTGCTTAACCTGTACAGCGGCCACTTACATGCGTTTCAGGAGTAGGAGGTTTGATCTAACCCGCACCCGCCGCGGCCTTGGGTGCAGCTCAGTAGACTTCCCCAGGCCCACCTTTGGGGGCCCGTAGACCACGCGGGGTGGGAAGGTCCCCGAGCCCAGGACACAAGTCGGGAGCATCTGCTCCCATCTCTCATTTGGAGACACACCCGCTTCGTGCCCAGCCCCCTGGCCCTCTGTCTGTCTGGGCGGAGCCAGGGAGCGTCCGTGCTGCCGGGGGCTCTTACTTTGGTTTCTTTTCCTCGGGGTGGGGGTGGGTCGTGGCGCCCACCGTGCTGAGGGTCAGCGTGGGTGGTGCGTTCCCGTATTTATTTGTTCCTCTGCGCTGTGAGCCTCGGGTGCGTGCTGGCGCTGGTCCTCAGGTTTCTGAAACCATGTTTGTGACTAGAGACCTGGGGAGGGGATGGGGGAGGTGGTGGCGGCTCCTCTGGGAGCGAGGCCTGTGTGGGAGGATGCGCTCCCTCCTGCCACTGCGGCTGGTGGCGCCACCATCGACTCCTTGCTGTGGGGACCCCTCTTAGCCAGGCAGGGCCCTGTGCCCATCTTCTGTGGGGAGGGCTGGGCGGGGCACAGGTGTGCTCGTGTGTAAGTGTCGCGTCTCCTTAGCTCCCATTTCTCAGCCCCAGGTCCATCGTGTCTTAAAGCCCTGGGTTCAGAGCGACCTGTTCTTGGCTGGCGTGTGGGGCTCCGAGTGTGTGACCGCGTTCCCTGGTCCCTGGTCCCTGGCAGCTGGCGACGGGCCCACGGCGGGCGCACGGACCAGGCCTGGGGAGTGCTCAGCCTTATTACTTAGACACATTTGTAACTGAAGATGCTGTTTTCGATTTGTACAGACTAGTTAGAGTATCTATTAAAGTGGTGAAACCTGAGCCCGCCTGTGTGTCTCTGTGGGGTGGGGAGGGGGTGGTCGCACTCCCCGCAGCTCTGAGGTGGGGCAGAGGCCGGGCCCGTGTCTGGTCTTCCTTTTGTTCCTCCGGCCGCGTGTAGTTGCCTGTTGGTCTCCAGGCCCCGGGGAGCCCTTTGCTGGCTCCTCACTCTGCACGAGAGGGCGGGCTCCTCCCGGAACCCGGCCTGAGGATGCTGCTCGGGCCTTGTCCCCCCGCCCCCGAGGGCGGGCTGCAGAGGCGAGCCTGGCGCTGGCCGCCCTGGGCCTCGGTTGTGAGCACATGTTCACAGGTTAATTGCAGGGTCAGAGATGCTGCACAGAGTGTGTCCCGGGTCATTGGCAGGGAAGCGCTGGCCTCTTGGGGAACAGTCTTCCAGGGAAAGCCCTCTCCCGCTGCCCCAATCACAGTGGCAGCTCCCATTCCCTTTCGGAGCGCTGCACCCAAGGGAGCGAAAACGAGAGGCTGAGAGCGGGAGGCTGCCCTCTGTTCCAGCTCTCCCGTAGCACAGGCTTTCAGGAAAGTGGGCGTGTCCCTGGGACTGAGCCCCTGGGTGGGGCAGTGTGCTCTGGGCGGCATACACTCCGCTCCACTCCCATACACTCCGCTCCCATACACTCCGCTCCCATACACTCCGCTCTGGGCCCCATACCCTTCGCCTAGGGCCCACTCGCCTGGGAGCTGCAGCCACCCAGGACCCATACTGCCCGTCTGGCTGCTGCTTCTGTCCCCACGGTCCCTGGACTGCCATACGCCCAGCCACCAGCCCAGCCACTCTGGGCCCAGACGTCACAATGCTTTCTGGTGACCTGGAGGGTGTCCAAGTCCACCTTCCGTCCCTGCGGCCCCTGCTGCCCTCTCCCACCCTCGGTCCTTAGGGCGACTCCCCAGGCCGCCCTTGTTCTGTCCGAGGCTGTGTGGCCTCCCTCGACCTGGGTGTCGCCTGTCACACAAGACTGCCCTGGGTCCCGCTGCCTTCTCTGAGCTCTCCTGGCACCTCGCCTGAGAGGGGTTCCCCTTCCCCAGGCAGCTCAGTGCTTCCGCCAGGTGCCAGCAGTAAAGGTGGGGTGCTGGCAATGCTCTGTATCCCACAACAGAGTGTCCCCAGCATCAGGACCCCCACAACACAGGGATCTCGAAAGCATGACCTGAGGGGGGGGGGGGGCCGGTGGGGACCGGGTCTGACCTCGGACCTGCTCGGCATCCCCTGGGGTCGGCGGGGCCCTGTCCGGAGAAGGAAGTGGTCACACAGGTGTGTTCATTTGTCAGCTGGACTGGCCTCAGGTGGGTACGCGTCGTTTACGGGTGTGATTTACACCTCATTGGAGCTCCTTTTTCAAAAGCCCCCACAATGGGGGGTTCCACTTAAAACGCTTGTTTTCCTCTTGAGGGGTCAGGAGTTGTGGTCACCCACTGCCTGGCAGCAGCCTCTGTCCATCCCTGCGGTGGCCACGCAGCTCAGCAGGTGCCGGCTCATGGCTCCTGTTGGCTCCTGTCTCGTGGTGCAGGGGCCACGCTGGGGCCCAGCCATCCCCTCAGCCCAGGGCTCCTGTTCTCAGAGGGGTTTGCTAGGAGGCTCCTCCAGGCCTTGCCCCAGCCGTGAGGGGGTGGAGGGTGGGGGGCTGGGGCCTCGGCTTCAGCCAGGCTGGTCTCGGTGTTGCTGACCTCCGTCCTGCCCTGAGGAGGCCCCTCTCTCTGCTCAGAGCGTGTGCCCTGTCCCCCAGTGCCCGTGGCGGGGAGCTCCAGGGGGGCTGTTCTCCCTCACCGGCCCTCCTGCTTCAGAGCCCCTGGTTGGAGAAGGGCTGTGGGCGTGGAGTCCTGCCGTTGTCGCCCCGTGTGGGCTGCCCTCGGCTCCCCGCCAGCTGGCCGCCCGCCACCCAGTGTGGCTGCACCCGGACTTTGGTCCCTTCCGGTCAGAATGACTTCCCGACCTCCTTCCTCGGGAGGCAGGCTCACCCCCTCCGCTCAACCTCGGGCATGTCTGGGGGGCAGGGGAGGCGGCAGAGCCTCAGAGCCAGCATTCGGCCCCTCACCAAGAGACGCAGACAGTGGTCCCGACCAGCAGGGTTACCCCCCCCCCCCCCCAGAAGCTGGTGAGGGTCTCCAGGCACCTTGTTTGCCTGGGACCCCTCCAGCCTGTGGCAGGTCCCATGGCAGCTCCCCGGCACCCCTCCCCCCCAGGCCAAGTCACCTTGGTGCCCCAGACACTGCTCCACCCACCCCAGGTGTCACCACTGTGCCAGTCACTGGCCCCGCCTGGCCATGCTGACTGTGCTTGGGCGGCGGCCGGATGTTACTTTCCATGACAACCTAACAGGCCTGGCCCTGAGCCGACTGTGCCAGGCCCCGGAGAGGCAGGTGGAGCCGGCAGGCACCCTCGCGACTCCCAGAGCTCCTCCGGGATCTGGGTGCCTGCCTGTGGAGCCGTCCCGTCCCCCAGTGGCTGGGGAGCCTGCAGAGGAGGCCTCTCGTGCTCAGACCCAGTGCCTGCTGATTAGCCGCCGGCCTCTGCCTCCGCACACAGAGCACCCTCTCGGACAGCAGGAGGGAAGCTGGGGGACAGGAGGTCTGGGGTCTTTCCCCGACCGCAGGCTGCCCCCACTTCCAGCAGCGGCCCGAGGGCTGACTGCCTGCCCTTCCGGCCTCATTCCTTCATGCACTTGCTCATCAGGCTTCCAGCGGCCTGGCCCCCACTCCATCCGCGCCTCCCCCCCCCCCCCCCATCCTCTGGTTTTACCAACAAGCAGTCTCCAGCTTCCCTGGCTCTGACCAGGGTGAGGTCTTTAGACAGTGAGGTCGACACTTTCTAGTTCCCCCTTTTCCCCAAAAATGTTTTCTGAGCACCTGGGGGCCCCAAAGAATGACATTGTCTCTGCGTGCCGGGAGCTGACAGCCTTCTAAGCAGGGCACTGAGGGACGAGGGGCTCCCCAGGGATCCAGGGTGAGAGGTCGGGGTAGCGTCACTTTCTCATTGGACCCCCAGGGCCTTGTGAGGTGGGGCCCGCCTGGCAGACTCCAGCGGAGGGGCTCAGGCAGCGACAGCAACAAGGGGCACAGCTTTAATGAGCCAAGGCCAGGCTGAGCCGGAGCCCGAAACCCAGGTGGGAGCAGGCCTCCCCCTTCTGCCCTTGGGCCTCCCTTTTCCCAGGCTGCAGCTCCCAGCAGGGGGCAGGCCTGGACCACAGGCTGTGCCCAGTGGACCGTGTAGGGCTCAGGTCAGGTGGTGTCCAGCCGCTTCTCAGGTGCTGCAGCCCCAGGCCATGTGGGCCTTTCTCCCCTGTTCTCCCTGCTCCCTGCCTCCCCTCCTCTCCTGTGGCAGTTGGGAGCAGGCCTTAGAGTTTGCCCTGGCAATCTAGGAGGGCTCCATGGAGGCGGCCAGAGGAGAGGGTCTTCCAGGCAGGGGACCCCTGTGACTGACTGGACTCCCCCCAACCCCCCCCCACACACACACACACAGGAAGGCAGTGGTGCCCAACCCCAGGCACCAGCCGCTGACGCACTCCTTCCTCACAGGCTGGCTGGGCAGCAGCCTCAGGGCTTGGCTTCGTCACTGCTGTGGAAATGACCTCACACGGGGAGTTTCGAAGAGGCGCCTTCATTGTCCCTGGCCAGGGGTTCGAGGACCAGTTTCGCTGCCTGGGGAAGGTCCCTGCGGACCCTGAGTATCCCAGGGGCCATACCCACTGAGCAGGCAAAGCCCAGCGCAGCCCCTCTTTGTTCTCAGAAGTAGTGACCACATGTCCCCAACCCAGAAGCTCCCTGTGGGGGCTGTGCCTGCCCAGGCCTTGGGGTTCGGTGGGATGGACTGGACCTCGTGCTGGCCAGCCATGTGACCCCGCATGAGTCATCTCAGACCCTCATCTCCCTCCCAGTCTGGGCCTACATCCCTGGGCTGCTGCTCCCCGGGGGGCGGTCCCTGGTGGGCAGCTCTCCTGGTGGGTCCTCTAGGCTCCTGGCTGTCAAGTGGTCTAGGGAGCTCCCCTGCCCCCCCCCCCCCAAAAAAAAAGATGTCCGACCAGCACTTCGCCTCTGTCTTCTGGGAAGTAGGCACCGCAGTCCGATTTCCAGAGGGACCTGCTGGGGCGGAGACAGGCCCTCCCCTTGCTCCAGGCTCAGGCTGGTTTGGCCTGGTTTGGCCCGAGCTGCACAGGGATGGAGCAGCTTTGGACACGGGTGGTCAAAGCTGCTTCCTCTGCCCCCACCCCCGCAGGTCCCAGGCCTGGGCGGGGCTGTTGGGAGTGAGGCTGCCTGGGTGGGCCTGGCCGATTCCCACCAGTCACTCTGGGTCCTCTGCCTGGGGTCCCCCGATGACCTGTCCTCCCAGCTCCCGCTGACGCCCACTTAGCACAACCCCCAGGTCACCACCAACCCCTCCCAGAGCGGCCTGGCCCACGGGTAGAGTGAGCACCAGGTGGGCGAGTCGGGCAGGGCACCTCACCCCACTCTCCCAGCCTGGCCTGCTCCTGCTCTCCCACATCCTCCCTTCCTCCACCCCAAGCCCCGCCTCTCCCCCCTCCCTGGGGCTTCTCTTTCCACACCTGCAAAGTAGGGGGAACATGCCCCCCATGGGGCGGTCTCTGGGTCGGTGCACAGAGGCTGGGCATGTGCCTGCACACCGACCCCATTGACCTTCACGGCCCCTGCTCCCGTCTCCTGGGGACTGGGCCTCCCCGGGAGTCCTCCCAGCTCTCCAGGCCTCACCGCCCCGCCCCACCCCACACACCACGAGCCCCGGCTCCTCTCCTGCGAGGACCAGCACAAGCAAGGCCTGCAGCACACAGTAGAACCTTAAGCAGTGCTGGTCCTGTCTGCCCAGAGTTCAGGTTCCACCAACTGGCCCCTGGTGGGGGGAGGGCGCAGCTGGTGGACCTCAGAGGGTCCCTGCAGAACGGTGGGCACCCGGGGGTGGCTGGACGGAGGCTCCCTAGGGACAGTGATGGCTGCACCCCTGGTCTGTGCCTGGTGTCCCACCGTCCCAAGGACCAGGTCTGCCCAGCGGCCAGAGACCCGCTCAGCTCAGCTCAGCACAGGCTGCGCTGGCCAGGGCTGGAGGGCTGGGGTGTCCGCACCCCCACCTTCACCCCCACCCCCACCCAGTCCTCTAGCCACACAGATGGGCACCGCCTGGCTGCCATTTGCACAGACTGAGCCAGCGATGTCCCTCCAGGGTCTGGACCACCCTCAGAGGTCGGGGCTTGGCTGAGGCACACAGCCAGGGCCAGGGGTGTGTGTGTGTAGGGGGTTGGGGGAGAGGCTGGTCCAGGGTGGGCTCCAGCTCCGCCGCCTGCTCCCAGCACTGGGTTGCCCCGGGCTGTCAGGGGCGGAAGTGTTGAATTCTGTGGCACCAGGACACCCGCGTTTCAGGTGGACCCATCCCGCAGGCGGAGGCTGCTGGTTCTCACCGCCCCACTCTGCCACTCCTGCTGGGTCACAGCTTCCGTGGGTGTGGAAGGTGGGGGCCCCGGGCGGCTGCGCACCCCAGAAATCCCCTTGGCGGGCTCCACCCCCACCCCTGGGAACCGGGAGGAGTCGGCCACCAGTTCCTGCTCCCGTTCAACCCTTGAAAGGAAGACGGTAAATAGAACGCAGGGCGCCGGCGATGACTCAGCCGCCCCCGCTGCCCTCGCCCGGGGCGGACAGGCCTCCTGCACGGCGCTCCCCTCTGCTCCCGGCCGCACGTGCGGTCCCAGCGCAGCCGTTCCCCCCCACCCCCCCATGGCGGTTCTCCAGCTCGGGGTGCAGGGAGGAGGACAGCCCCACCCCGGACGGAGGCTGCGCGGCCTTCACCCCCACATCGGCGGAGCGCCCCGCGGAGCTGTTGTAACACTTCTCACTTGTTACTGAAAGGAGTTACTGTCGCTTCTCGCAGACGAGAAGACGGCGCTCAGAGCACCTGCTCGCCAGGTGGGCCCGGCCCGCGGTGCCGGGTGGGCGAGGGGCTCCCCGGGAAGGGCCCCTGTGGCGAGGCAGGAACCGGGGCCGAGACCTGCTTTGCCCCAAGGGCGCTAGCGCGGCAGAGAGGGGGGTCGGGGCACCCCCGTCCCCCGCCCTGGGTCGGCCCGGGCTGCGGGTGCTCCCTGGGGCCCCCGGTGTTGAGTCATCGCGGGCAGGGCCGGACATTCCTTCGAGCGGCCGGCGCCCGGGGCGCGGTGGGGACCGCGTGTCACCCCGTGGGTCTGGGGGGTCGGAGGGGCGCCTGGTGCGTTTGCAGACATAAAGGAAAGGGTGACCGCGGGCCGGGAAGGCGCGGGCGTCCCGGTGGCCGGGCGTGGGGGCTGGGACGGTTGGGCGCAGGTGGGCGGGACACTGAGCGGGGCGGGGGCGTGTCTCCGGGGGCGGGGCCGGGAGGGGCGGGGCCGCTATAAAGGCCGCGCGCCCGGGCGGCCCGACCACACTGCTCTCGCCACCACCCCGTGAGCACGACGCCCGCCCCCGGCCCCGCGGACATGAAGACCCCCGGCGAGGTGCTGCGCGAGGGCGAGCTGGAGAAGCGCAGCGACAGCCTGTTCCAGCTCTGGAAGAAGAAGCGCGGCGTGCTCACCCCCGACCGCCTGCGCCTGTTCCCCGCCGGCCCGGGCGCGCGCCCCAAGGAGCTGCGCTTCCACTCCATCCTCAAGGTGGACTGCGTGGAGCGCACCGGCAAGTACGTCTACTTCACCATCGTCACCACCGACCGCAAGGAGATCGACTTCCGCTGCGCCGGCGAGAGCTGCTGGAACGCGGCCATCACGCTGGCGCTCATCGACTTCCAGAACCGCCGCGCCCTGCAGGACGTCCGCCTCCGCCAGGAGCGCGCCGCGGCCCCCGCGGCCCCCGCGGCCCCCGAGCCCCGCTCGGCCCGCGCGTCCTGACCCCGCGCGGTGAGTGCGCCCGCCCGCCCGCGCCCCCACCGGCCCCGGACGGCCGACGGTTGGGGGGAGGCCCTGCCCCGTCGAGGGTTCGCTTTGGCGAGGGGACCGCCCTCGGCGTCTCCGGGGCGCGCGTCGGGGGCGCCGCTCGCACCTGTGGCATCGGGACCTCCGGGGACGCCCAGGGGGGGCCCGGCCGGCCCGCCCGGTTCCGGCCCAGCCCCTGACCTCCTCTCCCCGCAGGAGCCACACACTGGACGAGTCGGCCCGGGCCGCGCCGGCAGGACATGGCTGAAGCCCACCCTCTGACCAGGACGAGGACTGAAGGCGGGGGCCGGCTGCGTCCCTGCCCCACCGAAGGGGACCTTCCCCGCGGAGTCGCCCCGCCCCGCCCCGCCCGCCGCGGGCGCGTTAAATTATTGGACTATCTATGTATTTATTTTGATGGCTGTTTGTCGGTACCGCGTCTTATGTCTTAATATTCTGTTTTTGCACCAGTGGCGTTCCCAATAAACCACTGATCCGTTCCATTTTCTACCCGCGGGTGCGGCGTGAGTTCCTGGGAAGCGGGGGCGGGCGGGCCGGTCACCGGGTGCGGCGGTCAGCAGGGCAGGGCAGGGCAGGGCTTGAATGAATGAGCGGGCGGCACCTCCTTTCCCGCAGCCTCTCCAGAGGCAGGAAGTGCCTCGGAGGTCAGCCCGGGCCGACTTCCGCTCCGGTGTGACCGGCAGGGCGGGGCGGGGGAGGGAGGTCATTTACACACGGCCGCCAGGTCAGGCGCCTCCCCGGCCAGGCCAGCTGCCCTTCACGCCCACACGCCATCCGCCCGGCCCTCCGCGGCCCGCGGGCCGCTGACCCCACCCCGTCTGGCCGCGCGCTCCGGGTGGTCTGCCATGGAGGCCAGAGGAGTGGGCAGCGCTGGGATGATGTGGCCGGAGCTGAGGCCTCGGAGGGGCCGGGACCAGTGACATGGGGGCGGGGCGGCCTGAGGAATCTGACAAACTGGCTGTGTCCGCCCCCCCACTCCCCTCCCCCGCCCCGGGGTGCTGGGCCCAGAGAGGAAGCCATTTCCTGCCAGGCATGTTCTCTGGAACACGAGGGATGAAGTCCCCGGGCAAATGGGGGGGGCTCAGAGGGTAGGACAGGCCCCAGGAGGGAGCCCTCCCACTCATGGGGACCAATGAGCAGCCAGGAACGAGATTCCGGTCCCCAAAGGGGTCCTGGAGGAGGTATGGGGCTGGAATCGGAGGGTTTAATGGCTCTGAAGGGCAGCCTGGGGAGGGGTGGCCTTCACGGTTGGTCTCGGGCCATGCACCCTGTGAAGGTTGTCTCCACCCCATCGGTCACAGCAGCCCCTGGTCTCTCCTGCCCGGCGCCCCTCTCCGGGAGCCGGGGTGGGGGTGCAGGGGGTGATGGTGCGCCCAGGTCTCAGGCCTGGCTGCCTGGGCCCCCCACACAGAGTGAGGCCCTATGCTCACGCCCTTCCCAAGCCTGGAATTCCTGGTCTTTAAAAACAAAAATGTTTTCTCTCAGGAACAGGAACAGGAACAACTTTGAGAATTCATGGGTCGTGCGGGGGGGTGCGGGGGCGTGCGGGCCGCGTGCTCGCCGCGTGCTCCCAGGGTCAGGTCCGTGCTGGAGCCTGAGGAAGGAAGTGGGGGCAGCGGGCTCCCCTCTCTGGGCACAGGGACAGTGGGGCACTTCTCACGGGAGGTGGTGATGGACTTCAGGGGGCAGGGCCCCTCTCAACCGGGACAAGCTTTGGGTGATTCTGCCCCCCAGAGCCCGAGGCCGCAGCCCCCTCCTCCAAGAAGCCCTCCAGCTTTCCCAGCTCCATCTCTCCTCGCCAGGCCTCCTGCCCAACCAGACGCAGGCCTGCGTGGGAGCCCGCAGAGACCAGGCCGGAAGTGGTGCCCAGGGAATTTATTGCCAGTCTGTGCCCAGGGGCCAAGGTCACCGGACTTTGTCCGTCTTCTGGGGTGTGGGCTGCCTCCAGAGGGCCAGGAAGACCAGGAGGTTGACGGCGAACTGCACGTGGCCGAAGACGGGGACTCCGAAGCCGCGGTACAGGAGGCCCCCCAGGGTGGGCCCCAGTGTGCGGGTCAGCGGCTGCACGGAGGCACAGAGGCCCAGCATGGTCCCTGTGGGGCGGGGGGTGTGGGTCAGGCCTGGGGGGGTCCCTCCGGTCACCACCCCACCGCTCACTTCCTGTCTCCCCCGCCCTCCGCTGTGCCCCAGCCCCTCCCCCAGGGCCTGCGGGCCTGGTCCCTGGGGACCACTCAGCCGTGAAGGGGCCCCGCTGGCCCCGGCCGCCCTGGGCCGGAGAGTTCCCACGAACAGGGGGGGCCCGGACTGGGTCCAGTCACGGGGGTGGGGGGCCCCCCTGCCCCGGCCACCAGGGAGCTGGCGATGGTGTGCAGCCAACAGGAACGGGGTGGGGGGGGGCCTGGCGGTAAAAGGTGAGCCACCAGGTGAGGGCCGGGCCTGGGGAACAAGGTGGCCGCGACAGCCCAGGGTCCCCACACAGCGCCCCCCAGAGGACCTGCAGGGAATGCGCCCCACAGGGCTCAGAGGGCTTTGGGGGCTTAGGAAGGGCACCCCACCGCCTCTGACCCCACCTCCCAGGTTCCCCTGGCCGTGGGCAAGCATGTTGTGGCTACTGTCCCAGCCCCGGGCGGCCAGAGCCCCGGGAGGTCAGAGCCCCCGCTGGGCTGGCAGCCTGGCTGGGTCCGCGGACCCGCCTGGCGAGGCCGCGCTGGGCTCAGGGCCGGAGGGAAACTGCAATGCAGCCTCTCCCGTCGCCCACGCACCCCACCCGGCAGACACCGGGGAGCAATTTACCGCCCCCTCTGTGGCCTAGGGTTCCCAGGCTGGTGCTGGGAACCAGCTCCTGGCTCCTTCCGAGTCGAGGGTGGGGCCTCAGGCGCAGTGAGGCCAGGGCCTGCCCTCACCTCTCCAGGCCTGTCCCCGGCTGCTCCTCCTGGCCTCTCCAGCGAGCTGGCCACCCCCTCCGGGAAGCCCTCCAGGCCCCACCTGGCCTCCCGGGACCCCAGGACTACGGGCCTCAGAGGTTTTGGAGGCATCGGGCCACCAGACCTCAGTCAGCGCCTCCCGGACAGACAGACGCAGGGACCGAGCGTCAGCCAGGCCCCCCGAGGTTTCCGCCCCTGCAGCTGGGGACCCCCTCACCGCAGACAGACACCGGAGCCCTGAACTCGGCCTACACCGTGCCAGTGTCCCGCTGGGAGGCCCGAGGCTGCCTGGGTTTAACCAGCTGTGCCATTCACCCCAACACCTGCGCCCAAGCTGGGGAGGGGAGCGGGGACAGGCCCGCCTCGGCTGCGGCCTGCCCACTCCCCGCCCACCGGGCTGGCTCCCTAACTGGCCTCGCAGGAGCCTCCCCTGCCCCCACCTCCACACCTTGGCTCAGCTGGGCCCAGCCTGGAGGCCGTCTCCCCCTCCTTTCCAGTGAAGTCCTACCCGTACATTAGAGCCAAGCCGATGCCACCTCCAGGGAGCACTCCTCCCACCCCAGGTCTGGCCCTGGACGGGTCAGGTGCAGGGCCGGCTGGGCCCGGCTGGGCCGAGTGGTGGCCAGCCTCTCCCCACCTGCCCCGAAGCAGGACAGCTGTTCCACCCGAGCCCGAGCCCACTCCCGAGGGCGGCCCGGCCCAGGCCTCCTCGCCGGCAGCCCGCGCTCACCGGTGTCCGAGGCCGAGACGGCCTTGGTCAGCATGCTGTCCGTCACCACGTTGAGTGTGCACAGGCCGAAGACCAGGCCGGGCATCAGGAGGCAGAAATGGAACACGTTGGACATCAGCGCCTGGCACGGGGCGGGCAGGGCCACGGTGATTGGGGCGCCCAGGGGATAGGGCAGGAGGCCCATCCCTGAGGCCCCATAGAGGGGCCCTGGGAGGGGTTGGGGTGGGGTGGGGCCCAGGAGCTCAGGCGCAGTGCCCCGCCCTCTGTGGGTGCAGCCCGGGTGCTCACCATGGCCAGGCCCACCACGCTGAAGACCAGCACGCTGGCCCGGAGCAGCGCGGCCTCCGAGAAGCGGCTGCTCAGCCGGCCGATGACCAGGCCCTGGATGACCTGGGGGGGGGGCACAGGGGGAGGGTCGGGGCTGCGGCCAGGGGCACCTCCACACCCTTGGCAGCCCAGCCCGGAGCAGTGACCAGTTCTAGAGCAGAAGGGTGGGCCCCAAGGACCCTGGGGAGACAGAGGAGGGGGGTGGGGGCCTCACATATGCGCGCACGCACACATGCACGCACACATACACACGTGTGCGGCCAGCCACTCAGAAGTCCATGTTCACATTTACTGCGAATCCCGTCTCTTTAATGTCAGGGGCGATGAGCGTCCTAATCCAAAAGGCGCCGTTTCATTGGGGGGGCCGGGGGGGGGCGATGGGTTACGTGACGTTAAAACACGTCTTTTATCATTTGAAAAGGCCCCGTGTGGCCCTGGGTCCAAGTGTGGGGACCCCGTGGTCCTGTGAAGGCCCCTCCGGTGTCCCCTGGCCCCCAGCTCTGCTTCCTCAGCCCCTCTCTGTCCCCTTGCTGGGAGGGAGGGCCCCCCATTTCATAGGGGAGACCGGGCTCAGAGGGGAGGTGGCTGCACTGGGACCTGAGCCAGTGGCCCGGTGCCGTGTGCGCCCTCCGCCCGGCCTGGCCTGTCTACGGGAGCCACCCTGTGCCGGGACTGGGCCAGGAGCCACCTCCCCAGGTACAACTGGGTAAACCGAGGCCCTGAGGGCTGACATGGCTGGCCCTGGGCCGGCGAGGTCCCTGAGGCAGGGAGGGGCTCCCCGAGGCCACTGCCGTCCCACACGGTCCCTCAGTGCCCCACGCCCAGCTGGGTCCTAGGAGCTGCTCCCCTCCTGCCCTCGGCTCTGCTCTGGGAGGGGGGAAGGTCCACAGCGGGGACACCGGGGACACAGGGCCCTGACTCAGAGGCAGGCCCAGCCCCCAGGCCACTCCCAGGCCGGGTGAGGCTCCCTATCTGGTCCTCTCCCTCCTCGCCCCGGGCGGGCAGGAAGTGCCTGGGCACCTCGGGCTGGGAGCTCAGTCGGCTGGGGGATGGGCGGGCTGGGGGTCAGGGGCGGCCTGGGCTGGGGGTCAGGGGCAGCCTGGGCTGGGGTCAGGGGCAGCCCAGCCCTGCAGAATGGCACCGACCTCCTCCTCCCTGCCTGCTTGACACAACAAAACCGTTTCAGCCCAACTCGCGCGGCTCAGAGGCTGCGCGTCCACCTAGGAACCGGGAGGTCACGGTTCGATTCCTGGTCAGGGCACAGGCCTGGGTTGTGGGTTCGATCCCCAGGGGGGGGCCTGCAGGAGGCAGCCGATCAGTGATGCTCTCTCCTCATGGATGTTTCTCTCCCTCTCCCTTCCTCTCTCCCTTCCTCTCTGAAGTCAATAAAAAAATATTTTTAAAAAACCTCTTTCACATCGTCAACGTCCTCTGAACCAACCCGCGCCCGCGCCCCCTCTGCGCAGCGGCCTCGCGCTCCTTACAGACAGGCCAGGCCCGGGTGCCTGCACTGCAGGAGCCTGACCTTGGGCTTAAACGCACGCACAGCTCCTCGGGCCCGGGGGGGCTGGTGGGGGGGGCGGTAAGACCTGTCCGCCTCCCGGTGGCCCCTCCCTGTGGCCCCACTGGGCCCTGCAGACCCACCCCCTCCGGGGCCTTATATGGAGCCCGGCCGCTCCTCCCCACGCCCAGCACTGGGCCGGCCCCCCTGTCCCGCCTGCCTCGGGGCACTCAGAGGGACTCTGGTGGACAGGGCCTGGGTACAGCCAGCGCGGGGGCCGAGGGGGGAGGTGAGCCCGTGGGGGGAGGGCTCGGAGCAGCAGGTGAGGAGGCCTGCCCCAGCCCCCGCCCGCCTGGCGCCCGGCCTCACTCACCATCAGGAGGACCCCGAAGGCGGACATGAGGTAGCCGGCCTGGGCGGCCTCCAGCCGGAAGAAGTCCATGCAGATGATGGAGAACATGACCATGAAGAGCCCTGGGCGGGGGCGGGGCGGGGCGGGGGGTCAGGGAGGGCCAAGCGGGTCGACCACGGTGACTGTGTCGGGAGCCGGTGATACCGGCGGGACCGGGCGCTTGCCCTCAGTTGGGTCAGGTCCCAGCACGGGACACCCCCCTCAGGGCCGTGCGGGTGAGCAGGAAAGGCTGGGTGCTGTCCCTCGGACAGGTGGGCACCCCAAAGCGGGCGGATGGGAGACGGGGTCCCAGGGCTGACGATGTGGGAGGATCCGACCCCAGACCCATCAGGGGCCCTCGAAGGCCCCTTTCACTGAAATCCATGGCATGGTCCCGCCCCTGTGCCCCAAGAGCGGGCCTGGGGGGGAGCCGGCCTGGGTGGGAGCCGGGGCCTGGGTGGGAGGCGGCCTGGGGGGGAGCCGGGGCCTGGGGGGGAGCTGGGGCCTGGGTGGCCTGGGTCAGAACGAGGGCCCCCAGGCTTGGCTGTGTCCGCTCTGCTGGCCTGGGGGCAGCCGGACTCACCGGAGGGGAAGCCGGAGACCACCTTGACCAGGAACACGGGCAGGACGCCCGGCCGCAGCAGCAGGCGGGTGATGGCCTTCAGGTCAAACACGCTGGCCTTGGGGACGCCTGGGTCACCGGAGAGGAGAAGCTGTCAGGCCAGCACCCAGGCCCTCCCCCACCTCGGCCCGGATGTGGGGGCCTCTGTCTGACCCCGGGCCCCCACCCGCGAGGTGCTCCTGAAGCCAGCACCCACAGCACCCACAGCACCCACAGCACCCACAGCACCCGCAGCACCCACAGCACCCACAGCACCCGCTGCACCCGCTGCACCCACAGCACCCACAGCACCCACAGCACCCGCTGCACCCGCTGCACCCACAGCACCCACAGCACCCACAGTACCCGCAAGCTGCACCCGCTGCACCCACAGCACCCACAGCACCCACAGTACCCGCTGCACCCGCTGCACCCACAGCACCCACAGCACCCGCTGCACCCGCTGCACCCACAGCACCCACAGCACCCATAGCACCCACAGCACCCGCAGCACCCGCTGCACCCGCAGCACCCACAGCACCCATTGCACCCGCTGTACCCACAGCACCCGCTGCACCCACAGCACCCGCCTGCGGCTGCAGGCCTCGGGGTCCTGGTCACCCCCCATCCTGTGCCCACCCCGGCTCTGCCCCAGCTCCCACTCCGCACCCCAGGGGACCCCTCCGGCCCCACCAGAGGGAGGAGGATGACCTCGGCCCCCTGGCACCTCCTTCCCCCGCCGCCTCGGGCTCCATCCATGGTCTCTTCAGACCAGGACCCCCCTGTGACCCCCCTCCCCCCCGTGTGGCTCCAATGGCGTCAGCGCCTGAGAGGCTCCAGGAAGGGAGGAGTTGAGGGGCGCCGAGTCCCTCCCAAGCCCCAGGTGCCCCCAGGCGGAGGCCCTGGGCTCAGCGGCTCCTGCTGCAGGGCGGGGCGTGGAGGGGCCTAGCCCAGGGCCGGGGCGCTGGCCGGCGGGACAGGAGCCTCAGGGTCGTGTGGCTGGGGGACTCACCTGGCGGGGCGGCCTGGGCGTGGGCGCCGGCCCCCTTGGTGCTGGTGGGGATGCAGGTGGCGCTGAGGGTGGCTCCCAGGAGGTTGGCCACCAGGGCCACGAGGGCTGGACACTGAATCCTGGGGGACAGTGGTGGTCACGCTGGGCCGAGGCCGCCTGAGCATCCCCCCCCTTCAACCACACAGAGGCCCCGGCGGCTGGAGCAGCTCACGCTCAGCCTGTGCCCGGAGCGCGGGACGGGGACCCGCAGGCGCTACGACCTTCATGACCTTCGTGACCTCACGGCCTTCATGCCGTGGCTGAGGCCCTCAGCGTTCACAGCGGGAGGCCCCTTGGCCTCCGGGACTGGAGGGACTGGAGGGGCCGGAGGTGGCTGGTGCCAGGATGGGGGGCCCGAGGGCTCTCAGGAAAGGCCCCCAACCCCAGGCCGGGGCGCGTGAGGCCCCCACAAGCGGCCTTTCCGTGGCCGGGACGGCTGCAGGCTGCAGGTCCGGGCCGGACCCCAGCGTGGCCACAGCCCGCGCCCCCGGCCGCAGGAGCTGGCCTGTGACGCGAGCGGGGAGGGCGCTGGCCCCGGAGAGAAGGGCTCTTTCTTCAGGATCTGAGAGCAGACGTCACCGCTGGGGCCGGGGGACAGACCTGCTTTCTCTGCCGGATGCCCCGGAAATGCGGGGGCAGAGCGGCCCCTCGGACGGCTATTTCGGGGGCCGGGGACAAGCGAGGGGCGGCGGGAGCCAGGCCGCTTCTGGGACCCTGATGGTGCCTTGCGTGGAGGCGGCGACACAGGGGCCCGGGACCGAGGGCCCGGGAGGGAGGAGGGCTGCCCCCACCGCAGAGGTCGCGGCTCCCCCAGAACAGAAGGCCACGGGGGCGGGAGGGAGGGACGCGGGACGGGGGCAGCTTCGGCCAGGCCTGGGTGCGAGGGCCTCCACTGGTGCGCCCTGGGCCGGTGTGGCTGGGGCCTCCCGTCTGATCCCGCGGGGACCTTGGGGGGCAGGGCCGCTGGGTGGGGTCTCGGGCTCACGGGCCCTTTTCACCGATGGTGCCGACCACGAGGGCAGCGCCTTCCGTGCGGCTTTGCCCACCGCCCTTTTATTTTGTGTCAAAAACCAGACAAGAGGCTGGACAGACAGCCTCACGGACGCCATGAAGGGGCATCGAGTCCTTCCGTCTGTCCGTCGCTGTGGCTCCCGTGACGGGCGGACCTGCTTCCTCAGACACAGAGGAGGGCCACCCTCCCGGGACCCCTAAGGCCGCACTGGTCGCCGGGGGGCTGCCTGCTGTCCGAGGCTCCTGTGGCCCGCAAGGCGTGTCTGGAGGGCGGGGCCTGGCCACCTGCCCCCGTGTGGCCCCTGCTGTGTCCTCCCGCCGCCCCGGCCGGCCCCAGGTCACGATCCGCTATGAAGCTGGCCTGCGTCCCCCCTGGGCCGAGGCTCTGAGGGGCTGGCAGGTGGCCGGCTCCCCTGGCCTGGCTGCAGGTGGGGCTTGGGGCCCCCCAGGCTGTGTGCCCCGCACCTGTCCCAGCGGGAGGGCAGGCTGGGGCCAGCTGGGACATGAGGGGGGTGGAGAAGTCACACCCTGGAACTCGGGGCTAGGACCGTGGAGGAACCGGCCCCTGGAGGGGGCTCCTGACAGCCTCCCTCCAGCTCCAGGTGGGCAAACAGCCCGCAGCCCCGGCCGCCCAGCCCCTGGCCCTCACTGGACCCCACAGGCCTCCCGTGGGGCTTCTACGCTTCCCCTTGGCCCGGAGCGGGGGGCCTGGGCCCTCCCACGGGGACGCCTGACTCCCAGCCCATCACCTCGGCCTCCGTGCCCTCGTGTGCACACCCCGGGCCTGGCACCTGGGCTGGAGGCGGGGCTGGCACGGTCGCGGTGAGCCACCCCAGCACCAGGCGGGGAGGCGGCCTGGCTGACGGTGAGTCACTCCTGCCCCGAGATAGTCAGGACAGCGGATGCCTGCTTGGCAGCCGGCAGGGGAAGCCGGGGTGTTGCCGGGCGGAAACCTTCCGTCAGGGAGATAAAGGTTTCCCACGCCTTCGCCCGGACCGCGGGCGGGATCGGCCTTCCGGGGAGGCCGGCTCCACCTCCTGATAAAGCCGGCGAGTCCCCGAGGCCCACGGGCGCAGCTGGGTCAGCGCTGGGCCATCACAGCCAGCGGGCGCCCGGGAGGGAGGGCCGGCAGCGGGCACGGAGGCCCAGCTCCCCTCGCCGTGGCCGATGGCTGCCGCCGCCCGCCCCGCGCCCACACCCTCCTGGCCTAGACCCGGGGCCTGGCGCCTGGCGGGCCTCTGCCGGAGCCACTTCTGGGGGCAGAGCCCGGGGGGCACAGAGCTGCCCCTGCCCCGAGGGAGCCAGGCCTCGGGGCCCGAGCTCCAGGCTGAGCCCAAACCAGCTGTGCCAGCGCCCGTCACAGCCCAGCCCGGCCAGGCCACTTCCTCTCCGCTCCTGCTCCCGGGGAGGAGGTGGGGGTGGCTGGGCCTTTCTGGACGGGGAGGTGAGCAGGGAGGGGGCAGGGAGAGGGGGTGCCAGCCCTTGCCATGGGGCATCGGGCATTGGAGCCGATTCCCCTGGCCCTTGGGGAGCCTCAGTCTCCCTGCCCATCAAAGGGAACTCCAAGGACATAAAGCGCCTTAGATCTTGGTATGAAAGAGGGAAGCGAATGGAATGTTCTGGAAACTGCTGGCAGGGAGAGACCAGTGGCCTCCCCTGGGTCAGCAGCTGGACAGGAAGGCAGGTGGCCACGGGAGGGAGTGGGGGCAGGGCTGGCGAGGGGGCGCGCTGCCCAGGGGAGACCACCCGGCGAGGCGAGGAAAGGAGCCAATGGGAGCAGGTGCTGGGCTGAGAGGCTGAGAGGGCCGGAGGGTGGGGCAGCGTGGGGTCCTCCCTGCCTCTCAGCCCCTGCCCCTGCCCCCCGTTTTCCTCTCCCTGGCAGACGGGGGCCCCCCTTCCCTGGACCCGGACCCGGCATCGGAGTCAGGCTCCCGCCTGCCTGCACGAAGGAGGTGGAGCCTGTGCAGGCGGAATCTGTGGTCACTCCGGCCTCGTGGGCATGGAGGGTCCCCCCTCCGTGACCCCGCGCCTCGCGGCTCCCGGGACGGACCTGCCCTGCGGTCCTCCTGGGCCTCCACTTTGACACCTGCCCCTCCCCACCTGTGGCCCGAACCAGCTCCCAGGGCTTGGACCGCCCAGGGCCGGCTCTTCCCACCTGGACTCCCTCCCCGGCCACCGTCCCTCCAGCCCGAGTCGGGGGGCACAGCCTTGAGTTCACACATGCATCCCCCCCCGCCCCCGTAGGCAAAACCAGGCCAGAACCGGCCCTCTGCCCGCCCCACCCACCCCTGCAGCCGCTCCTGGGCCGGTGCCAACCTGTCCTGCCTGGGGCGGGGTGGCACAGCAGCCCCTCGCTGGTCTCCTTGCTGCCCCCCCGCCCCCCCCAGTTCTCAGCACAGCAGCTTGGCTACACCTGCCTGCTCACGCCTGCCCCGGCTCCACGGCCTGAGCCCCCCTGTCCCCCCTCCCCTCCCCTCCAGTCACACGGGTCCTCCTGCCTCTGCCCTCACCTTCTTCTTCTTTTTTAAAAAAATATTTTTATTGATTTCAGAGAGAAAGGGAGAGAGAGAGAGAGAGAGAGAAACACCCACGATGAGAGAGAATCATTGATCGGCCGCCTCCCGCATGATAAGGGATGGAGCTCACACCCGGGCAGGCGCCCTGACAGGGCATTGGACCATGGCCTCCGGGTCCACAGGTCGCCGCTCAACCACGGAGCCACGGCGGCCAGGAGCCGAGCAGCAAGCCACTGTCCTGTGTGCACGAGTGTGTAGGGGGAATGTGTGCATGTGTGTGAGTGTGTACAGTGGATGTGTGTGTGTGTGTGTGTGCTTGTGAGCGTGTGTAGTTCCGACACCAGGACATCTCCCCGCTGAACGCAGTCCCAGGGCAGCCCATTGGGGCCTGTGCAGAGGGGGGTGGGCGGGGGGAACCAGAGGGCACAGGGCCGCTGGCCAAGGAGCCCACAGCCCGCAGCCACCACCCAGAACAAAGCCGAACGCCTGGGCCCGAATGGCGGTGCGGGCAGTGCCAGGCTCACTCCTAAGAAGAAGGCTGGTTTTGAGTGGGTGTTGGGGCTTCTGGGGAGGGGTGGGGGGGCCGCATGCGCACTGGTCTCGGGGCAGCCCCCTCGCCAGGCGGCCTCTCCAGGGCCAGGCATCCGGGGCCCAAGGTGAAGCTCTTCTCCCGGGAGGCGGGCCAGGCCACAGGGACAGGCAGCCGTGCAGCCCCCCACAGGAGTGGGGTGGGGTGGGGTGGGCCTGGGATGGTGCCTGTGACCCGTGTGTGGGAGCTGCTGGCTGGGCTCTCTGGGTGCAAAGCCGGTGGGTGCGAGCGTGTGCATGTGTGCGTGTGCGAGCGTGTGCGTGCGTGCATGTGTGCGTGTGCATGTGCGCGCGCGTGTGAGTGTGCATGTGTGTGCGCATGTGTGCATGTGCGTGCGTGTGTGTGCGAGCGTGTGTGCATGTGCGTGCATGTGCGTGTGCATGTGTGCGTGTGCATGTGCGCGCGCGTGTGAGTGTGCATGTGTGTGCGCATGTGTGCGTGTGCGTGCGTGTGTGCGCGAGCGTGTGTGCATGTGCGTGCATGTGCGTGTGCATGTGTGCGTGTGCATGTGCGCGCGCGTGTGAGTGTGCATGTGTGTGCGCATGTGTGCATGTGCATGCGTGTGCATGTGCGCGCACGTGTGAGTGTGCATGTGTGTGCACATGTGTGTGCGAGCGTGTGTGTGCATGTGTGCGCGCGGAGGGGACAGAGGCCTGTGTTTCACGCCCAGTGATTAAACCGCCCACAAGCTGCCCTCCCCCGTCCAGGGGCTTGCAGCCCAGCACCCCCATCGCAGGGCCCCAGGGCCCACAACCCGGTTTCCTGTAGGAAATTGGGTTCCTAACACCCGCCTGGCGGGGCGGGCCTCCCAGCCTGCACCCCCCAGACCCCACCCGGCCGCGTGCAGGAGGGGAAACTGAGGCCGGGCCGAGCATGCTGGCGGGACGGAGCCGACCCAGCCCCGCCGTCCGGACCCTCCACGGCCCCGCCCACCCGTCCACTCACCCGCACGCGGAGCTCAGGGTCCCCCCGAGCAGGGAGCCGAGGATGGTGCCGACGCCGAAGCAGAGGCCGAGGCGGCCCAGGGCCGTGGGGCGCTCCTCAGGCGCCGACAGGTCAGCGATGACCATCTGGGCGGCTGGGGGCGAAGCGGGGGCTGAGCGGCGTCCACCCCGGCACCCCACCTGCCCCCACACCACCCCGCGTCCTGTGTTGCTCTCGGGTCCAGACTAACATCTTGGGGGCGACCTCTGCGCCGAGGGGTTCGGGCCCAGCCGGCCTACCTGGCAGCGTGTGCATGAGCGGGGCGGGCAGGCGCGAGGCGAAGAGCAGGGCCACGCCGGGCAGGGCCGGGCTGCAGGCGGCCGCCAGGAGCAGGTAGAGCGCCGAGGCCGCCAGGAAGGAGACGGTGAAGGCGGCCCGCGCCCCGCGCTGGTCTGCGAACCTGCGGGCAGAGGTCGCGGTCCCTCCTCGCCCCGCCCCACGCCCACCCTGGGCCTCAGTCCCCACCTTCCACGGGCCGCTGCGGTGACCTGGGGTCTGACCTACCCCTGGGGCCTGCCCGGCACCCCCCCCCCCCCTCCGAGAAGAAGGTGTGGGTCCGAGGGGACCCAGGGTGTGTGCATTTTGCAGACCCCGTCTCCTCCCTGCTCTGCGCCCCGTCTCCGGGGTCACTGCCTCGGGGACTCCCTTCCCTGCAGTCGCTCGAGACCTGACTCCAGCCACGTGGGTCTGGCCCCGAGGAGTGTGCCGAGGGCGAGGCCGGGGGTCCCAGGTCCGAGTTCCCAGTGGAGCCGGGCCTGACAGCCCCGAGCGTCTCACAGGGAAATCCTCTCTCGCAGCCAGAACTGGTGGAGGTTGTGGGGGGACGCCCTGGGAGTCGGGGCGCCCCAGCCCCAAAGGGACCAAAGCTGTTCGGTGCCTCCGTGTGTCCCTCTGTGAGATGGAGCTGGCGTCGCCCCGGGGGGCCCAGCGTGAGGTGGGGAACCCGGCAGGGGCGGCCGTGACGGCGGAGGGGCGGCCCACGGTACCTGCCGAACAGGGGCCCGCCCAGCAGCTGGAGCGCCCCGAAGGCCGTCTGCAGGCAGCCGAAGGCCACGGAGTCCAGGCCCAGCGTGCGGGACAGGTACTGAGACACAGGAGGGCCCGTCAGGGCGGGAGGCCGGGGTCTGGAATCCGGGGTCCCCAGTGGGCCGGCGGTGGGAGGGGCAGGCTGGGGGAGGGGGCCGGGTGTGGAGGGGACGCAGGTGCTCCTTGTGGAAGGGGGAGCCTGTGGGGGCCTCTGGGTCCAGGGAGGGCTGCGTAGAGGCAGCAGCTGGCCTCCCTGCCCCCGTGGGGCACACACACCTCCCGCGGTGAGGGAGGCACCCACAGCCACTCAGAGCTGCTCTGCTGGGCACCAGCTCTCCTAGGGGTTCTAACTGCGCCCATCGCCCCCCACCAGCCTCCGAGGCAGGGGTGCTGGGACCCATTGTACGGTGGGGACATTGGGGCCTGCCCAGGGCACTCCGTGCTGTGGCTCTGACCAGGCCGTGGTCGGAGGGAGCTGGGCCTTGAGGGGCGGGTGTTGGGCTCACGTTGCCCTGGAGCCCCTGCCAGTGCCAGGATGTGGCAAAGGCGATGCCCATTCCCACCCTAGGTCCAGGCAGGGGCTGTGGACAGACCAGACAGGGGCTCTGGCACCCCCAAAGCCCCTGGTGCTGTCACTGGGTGGGGGTGAGAGCCTGTTGGGGGCTCCCCGGGGGTACAGGGGGGTGACGGGCGGCCGGGTGGGCAGTAACCAGGAAGCCACAGTGGCCAGTTAACCCACCGCCCACTCGGGTGGGCAGGCGGGCAGCTCCAGACCAGGGGAGGCGGCAGGGGAGGGGTGGATGGGCCATCTGCCCCCGCCTCCGGGTGTCCTGGGGACACAGAGGTCGTCCGACACCGTGGCCCAGACCTGGGCTGTGGGACAGCCGCCTGAGACGGACCCCTGGGAGCAGGATGGGGGAAGCGGCTGCAGGAGCCAGGCCCCCAGGTGGGCCTGGGCAGAGGCCGAGTGCGGCTGGAGGCTAGGCCGGTGGTCGGCAAACTCTTTAGGCAACAGAGCCAAATATCAACAGGACAACGACTGAAATTTCTTTTGAGCCAAATTTTTTAAACTTAAACTATACAGGTGGGCACATTGTTATTAACTTAATTAGGGAACTCCTAAGGCTTAGGGCAGCGATGGCGAGCCTATGACACGCGTGTCAGAGGTGACACGCGAACTCATTTTTTGGTTGATTTTTCTTTGTTAAATGGCATTTAAATATATAAAATAAATATCAAAAATATAAGTCTTTGTTTTACTATGGTTGCAAAGATCAAAAAATTTCTATATGTGACACGGCACCAGAGTGAAGTTAGGGTTTTTCGAAATGCTGACACGCCGAGCTCAAAAGGTTCGCCGTCACTGGCTTAGGAAGAGCCACACTCAAGGGGCCAAAGAGCCGCATGTGGCTCGCGAGCCGCGGTTTGCCGACCACGGGGCTAGGATGTGAGCGAGCTGAGTGGGTGTGAGTGCGGGGAGGGAGGGGCGGGATCGGCAGGGCAGACGCCCCAGGAGCTGTGGTCAGAGGGCTGTGCAGGCTGTGCCGCCAGAGCCCAGGACGTGCTGATGGGGTCCAGGAGGCACGTCCCGGGGCCCCTCCCCCAGCTCCCGGGCGGCAAGAACCCCCAGCGAGAGGGTCCCGGGGCGTCAGGCCCCCGCCCTGCGGGTGCACAGGGGGACGAGGAGGGGCCAGCCGGCGGGAGGCAGGGTGCTCACCGGCAGGACGGAGAACTGCATGAAGAGGCAGGTGAGGTCCAGGGTGGTCAGCACGTAGATGAGCAGGAGGACCCCGGGCCGGCCCAGGGCGCCCACCCCCGAGGGGGCCTGGCCCCGGCCCCTGGGGGCCCCGGCACCCTGCATCCTGGGACCTTGCAGGGATCCGGGAGGGAGGCTGGCAGGGGCCAAAGTCCTGCTGTGCCGGGCGGGGGCGCTGAGTCACCGGGCGGCGGAAGGGCTGGCGCCGGGCCTGCGGGGAGCGTCCGGCGCCGTGGGTCCCACCTGGGTCCGGCACCCGCTGTGCGACCCGGGGCCAGCCTTGCCCTTGGGGAGCGTGGCGGGCGGCCCTGTCCCTCCACCACGGACACGGCCCCCGGGGGACGGGAGAAGGGCCCTACCCCGGGCTCAGCGCCCACACGCCTTCGGGGCAGGCAGCTGGCGTGATTGCTGACTGCTGCACTGCAGGTGCCTCCTGCCTGGGGTGGGTTGGGGTCCCTGTGCGGGGGTCCGGGGGCTCCTTAGGCCCACAGCGCACCCCCCACTATGAAGCCGCTTCGAGGGGGAAGGACCACTTTCCTGGCTCCGGTCAGGGGCTGCCCTGGCCCCCGTGACCCGGGGCACCTGCTTTGGCAGCGCTCAGCCTGGGCACCGTCCCGGGCGAGGGTGCAGGGGGAGCCCTCCTGGCGAATTTGAACCTGGCCCATCTGGGGCTGGGTTCGGGTCCCACCCTCCCGGGGTGACCTGGGACTCCAGCCCACCCAGAGGGACCAGGGCACCCACCCTCTCGGGGACACCCCAGTGTCCCGGCCTCCTGGCTCTCATTGGCCGAGCCTGACACACACCCCCACCCCCCCTGAGGGCCTGCCCCACAGCGGGCATTCTGCCAGCCTCCTCCCTCCCCGCCTGACTTTGCCCGGACTCGCCTGCACACCCATTTCTCCCTGTGGCCGTGGGAGGCAGGCCTCTGGCCTCTGAGCAGCACTGGGCGTCCAGTCCGGACATGGGGTGCGGAGGGGTAGGGAGAGGGGCAGGCTGGGAAGGATGAGAGAGGGATGGAGGGGAGCGGGACACAGAGGAGGGCCAGGGAGGCTGGAGCATTGCTGGGGACCTCCCCCACCCACCAGGAGGCTGCTGGGAGTAGCAGGATGGCGTTTCCCCAAGTCACACTGTGGTGACGCCCCCAGAGTTGGGGCCATTTTGCTTCAAGAGGTCCCTCTGCGTGGCAGGGCTGGGGGCTAGGGGCCTGGGCGCTGGCAGGGCTGGGGGCTGTGGGGCTGTGGGGCTGGGGGCCTGGGGGCTGGCAGGGCTGGGGGTCTGGGGGCTGGCAGGGCTGGGGGCTGGGGGCCTGGGGAATGGGGGGCTGGGGGCCTGGGGGCTGGCAGACGCTGGGGGGCCTTACAGCCACAGGGAGCCCGGGGGAGCGCACAGGCCCAGCTTCCTGCAGGCACAGTTTCCCTTTCTGCTGCCACCCCTGCCGGCAGCCCAGAGCCAGGCCGCAGGCCCAGGTGTCAGGACCCAAGTCCCCTCTGCCCTGTGACCTGCAGCTCAGCAGAGCAGAGAACCAAGAGGGACGGAGCGGGGCTGGAGGCCGACGCCTGGGAGCCAGGCCTGCGGTGCCAGGAGGCGGAGGGCAGGCCGAGGCCCAGGCCCCGGGGGGGTGAGGGCCGAGCCGGAGCCTGGGCGCCATGCTGCTCCTCTCAGGGGGCAGCAGGCCTGGGCCTGAGCGAGGGGAGGTTCCCGCCCGAACGGTGCCCACGGGACCTGCGTCTGTACCGGAGGACAGAGCCGGTTCCTGCCAACCTCCAGGGACTGCGCGTGAGCTGGCCCGGCCCGGCCTGCCCACCGGCCGGCGATGGGAGGGGCGTGGCGGCCGCATCAGGTGTCCGGACGGACTCCCGGGAGGGTGGGAGCCCAGGTTCCCGGCTCCTGGAGGCTCCTGAGCTCTGGGCCGCGGCTCCCGGCCTGGCTGCCTCCCCCGGGCCTCCTGGAGGTGGGCGCCCGGGCTGGCGGGTGGGAGACCCCAGCGCCAGGCGGGGAGGCCAGGGCCCTGGAGCTGGTGGGTGGGCGGCAGGGGCTGGCTGCTCACCTCTCCCCTCCTCCTGCCTCCTGCGTCACGCAGCCCCGTGGCGGGTGCAGCTGGGGCAGAGCAGTCAGATCTGGCTGGGACCTGCCCAGAACCGGCCCGGGGAGGGCGGGAGCTTCCTGATCCTGGGAGCGCGGGCAACTGCGGGCGGCTGGGGGAGAGCAGCACCAGCCCCGGCCCCGCCTCCTCCAGGGCACGCAGCTGTGGCCGAGTGGCCAACCTGCCCACTGAGCCGCACCAGCCCCCTGAGTCCCCCGGGCCCCACACCCAGCCCCCGGCATCCACAGCCTCTGCCCCTCAGAGAAGCTCCTGGCGGGGCCAGGCTGATCCGGGAGGACGTGAGGGCTCTGGGGGGCGCTGGGGAGGAGGGCTCCCTGGAGGAGGCACCGCCTCCCCGGAGCCTTCCGGATGGATGCACAGAGGTCAGGTGCGGGAAGGACGTGCCGGGTGGAGGGGACAGCAGGGAAAGAGCCAAGAGTGGGGGGTTGAGAAACCGAGAACCCCTGCCCGACGGGGCAGGGACCGGTGTGCAGTGGGGGGAGGAGAGGCGGTGAGGCCCTGGGGAGGGAGAGGGACGGGGGAGATGTGCCCGGGGAGGGCGGAGACCCCTGTGGGTGGCTCAGAGCCGGAGGGCCGAGGGGGGGACACCAGGCAGCCTGGCCACGCGGACAGGCCTTACTGAGCATCCGTGTCACGCTGCGCGAGATGTCTGCGCGTGTGCACGCCTGTGTTTTCGTGTGCGCGTGGGGGGAGGCAGACGGTCCCCGAGGCGTGTGGCTGGCTCCTGGGTGATCGCTGATCGCACACGCACGCAAAGCTCTGTGCACTGGAGTGGGCGGGCCCTGAGCTCCCTCCTGCTCCGGGGGCACCTCTGGCCGTGCTCACAGGGAGGGGGCAGTGCAGGCCGCTGCTGCCGGCAACGGGGGACGTGGACGTGGTGGGGGGGTGGTGGTGGCAGAGGGTGCGAGGGGGGCCTGCACCCCCGGGAAGGAAGGGCTGCGGGTGTCCTGCCGGGGGCGGGGGGGGGGCGGTGGCAGGGGGCAGGCGCCTGAACAATGGCGCCACCGGCTGAGAAGGGCGGGGCGGGGGGCTGGGCGAGGCGGGTCCTCTGAGCTCAGGGTCCAGCGGGTCCTGCAGGGGCTGTGGTCGGCTGTGGTCCGAGTTGGAGGTCAGGTTCTGACCTTCCGTCCCGCCCTCAGCCTTTTCTAGAACCTCCGGCCGCTGGGCCGCAGCTGGGAGTCCAGGAAGGAGCAGGACGGACGTCGCAGCCGGGAGAGGCCTCGAACCCGCGCACCCTCTGCACCGAGCTCCGCCTCGCCTGCCCGGCGCCTCCCTCGCTGGACGGCGGCTTCAGGAGCCCGGCCCCATGGTTTCCGCGGGGCCAGCCGCCCGACATCCCCTGAGTTTCAGCGGCGGCACCACCTCTGCTCGGGGCACTGGGGCCTGGGGGGCCGGGGGACCTCCTACCCTAGGGCGTCGGGGCCGCGCTCACAGTTTGCAAACCGCAGCAGCATGAGGGACCGTCCTCGGGCTCTGCCCAAGTCGTGGCCCTGAGCCGCCTGCACCCCTGAGTCCTGCCAGGCACCCTGCCCCCCGGCTTACTCGCCTATTTCTGCCCCCACCCACTGGCCGGAAGCCCCTGAGGGGAGGGCTCCCGAGGTCCCGGGAGATAGGCTGGCTGGACGGGTGGGCACGGGTGAGGACACAGGCCAGACACCCCCAGTCCAGGCCCCAGTTTGACAGCCGAGGGGGCTGCGGGCACTCGGCCAGCTGTGCAGCCAGCCCCGCTGGGCCGGCCGCTCCATGACTCCCCTTGACAAGGGCCTTGTCCTCGTCAGCCTCAGTGTCCCCATCTGTGAAATAGGACGCTTGCTCATCGGATACTTGTGAGGATGGACTGAGAATTCACACAGGGGCCCGGCACGGGCTGCCGGGCACAGAGAAGGCTGCCTGGCACAGCTGGTTCTAACCAGCGCCCGCCTGGGCCGGAGCCGGGCCCATGTGCAGCGGGCCGGGGGCGGGCTGAGCGTCAGACTCTGTGCCAGGCTCCTCTGAACCCGCATTGTCCCAGCTGCTTATTATGCAAACCCTGCTCCATCCGCTCCCACGGTCCCCGGGGCCGCGCGTCGCTGGGCAGCGCCTGGCTGGTGGCGAGCTCTCCCGGCATCCCTGGGCCCCACGGATGCGCCGTTTCCATCACAGGCAGCTGGACGGGTCTGCGTGCTGGGCCGGGCCCTGCCCACCCCTCTGGGCTGGAGGGAGAGACGGCGGCTGGTGTGGGTGAGGCTGCCTCCGGGGAGCGGGCCTGTGCCGGCCACTGTGGACATGGCCTTTGAACCTCATCAGAAGCCTCACCGAAGAGAAGGCCAAGGCACAGAGAGGGAAAGCCAGTGGCCCGAGGATACATGGCCAGGAAGAGGCCGGGGCGCAGCCTGGCTCCAAAGCCCACAGGCCTGCCCTCGGCCGGCACCGCTGCCGCCCCGCCCATCCCTCTAGCTGTGGGTGCCGTTGGCAGGGAGTGGCCGGGGTGGGAAAGCCGCTGCCAGCAGAAGGGATCCGGCCACCGGCACCCTGGGCGCGCTCCCTGGAGCCCAGCAAGGGCTGCTGCCTCTGGCCTCTGGCTGCCCTCCAGCACCACGGAGGCCCCTCCTGGCCCCATCCTCCCAGACTCCCCCTCCCCGTCCACCTCCCCCTCACATCCCAGGGCCTGGGAGCCTCTGACTCCCCCTCTTGGGCCCCTGCCCGGCCCGGGCCTGCCCACCAGCCCTCACCACCCCCCTCCCAGCCGCGGGTGGTGGCACCTGCATCCCCTCCTCGGGCACAGGATCCGGGCCCTGAGCTGGACCCTCCGGGCATCGGGGCATCGGGGCTTTCCAGGTGCAGCCGCCCCCCTGCGCCCCCCCCCCTCCCCCCGGGGCCGGAGCCGGGACCCAGCCCTCAGCCCCAGTGTGAGGGGCTCAGGGCCTGTGCAAGGCCCCTCCCTCCTGGGCTCCCTCCTTCCCAGGCTCCTCCTCACCCCAAACCTGGGGTGCCCCTGCCCGGGTTCCAGCTGCACCCCACTGCCCACCGTCATGGCACGACCAGCCCACAGCTGTGCAGGTCCCGTGTCTGCACCTGCTGTGGGCGGCGGGAGGTGGACCCCAGGGCTCCCTTCGGCTGTAGGCTCATTTGGGGGAGGGTAGCGGCCGATGGGGAGAGTGGGGCACACATGTCCCTCAGGCCTGCTTGCCTAGGTGACAGCCCCCCCCAGCACCTAGGGGTGCTGCTCCCCAGGCCAAGCTCCTGCCGGGAATGGCTGTGTGGGGCCCAGCTCCCTGCCCAGAGTGGGAGCCAGGGTTTCCACGTTGGCATGGGAGGCGCTGAGCCCAGGTTCTGAGTGTGTGCCCCTCGCGGTCCCCCAGGCCCAGGCCCAGGCTGGGCAGGCGGGGGGGCAGGGGGCAGGGGGCAGGGGGGCAGGGGGCAGGTGCAGGCAGCCTCGCTCTGCAGCCCAGGGTCTGCCTGGCTGCACTGACGCAAAGGGAAGGCAGAGGGCGCTGGGAGGCAGGGCCGTGGGGGGACCGGCAGGAAAAGGAAGAGGAGGAGCTGGGGGAGGAGGGGGGAGAGAGGAAGGGGCGGAGGGCTGCCGGCGAGAGGGGAAAGCTGGAGGGGAGGGGAGGGGGGCGGGGAGAAGGGGGGAGGGGGCTGGCCTTCACCTTGCGGCTCTAACCTCCGTCTCTCCCTCCTCCCCGCCTGCTCCTTGGCCCCCTCGCCCCTGCCCGCCCTGCGTGCAATTCCCACTAAGGTGTGAGGGACAGCCCCCCCGCACCCAGGGGTGTCATGCATTTATGTATTCATTCATTTTATTCATTCATTTATGTATTCATTTAATTAAATAAATCTTCCCCCTACACAGTCCTGACCGGGCACACTGGGCAGGCGCCCCCACCTTAGACTTGAGGAGAGTTGGGGTCACAGAGAGCTGGGCCCTTGCCCACCCGGTGAGGAACCAGTGAAGGTAGAGGGGCCAGTGGGTTGGGGGTCCTCTTTCAGGCCCGGGTGCGGGGCCCCCAGGCTGCTGGCTGCGGTGCCGTCCGTGGCCACCAGGGGGCAGGAGGTGCCCAGCTTTGGGCCTCAGGCCTGGGCTGCTGGCTGGCCGGGAGGTGGCGGGCCTGGTCTGGCAGGCGGCCCAGGCTCTGGGGGGAGGGAGGGCCGGCGCCCCTTCTGCTGAGCCCCCATTTCTGTGCCCCCGGGAGGACCTCCTGGCCTTGTCCTGGTGAACTGCTGCTCACCTCCAGGCTCGCGGGAGGAAGGATGAACGCGGGGCGAAGGCGTGGGGAGGGCTCCCCGACCCCCGACCCCGACCGTGGACGTGGGCCTGAGCCTGCTCTCCCGCCGGAGACTGTCCCCGGGCGGCCAGTGGCGGGTGCCCACCTCGCGCCCACCGTGGGCTCTACCGAGGCTCAGGATGCTCTGGGGTCCCGGACACGGGGGGGGGGGGGTCTGCCTGCTGTGGGGAGGGATGGGGTGCTGACGGGGACCCTCACATGGCACTTCTGGCTTCTCTGAGCTCCACGTGGCGTGTCCCGTGGGCTGAAGAGGCCGACTCAGAGGGGTCCCCACAGTCCACGGAAAGCAGAGAGAGAGTCGGGGCACGGCGGGGGGTGAGATCCAGGAAGGGGGCACCGGCTCCTCCCAGATCTGTTTGTCTTGCCATTTCCCTGGCAAAGTGAGGCCCCCCCAGCCCCGCCAGCCCACCCTGTCGGGTCCTGAGGAGGGGCCCGGGGGTGGGGGCGCTGGTGGTTCTGAGCTGGCCACGCGGTGTCTGAGACCCCTCCCTGCCCGCGCCTGCCCCGGGGCCTCCCGGGTTGGTCGGTGTTAAAAGCAGAAAGTTCCCAACCAGTTGGGAGGGGTCCCTGCTGGAGACCTCAGGCCCAGAGGCCCTGGGAGGGTGGGAGTGGGGGAGGGTGCTCCCGGGTCCGCCGCCCCTCCCCCGGCCCATCGAGTCCGGGGCGAGGACCCGGCGGGGACCCCGGACTCCCTGTAACCAGAGCCCGAGGACCGACCATCACCACGGGGCGGCCGGCACCTGGGGAGGACGTGCCTGGCAGCCGCGGGGAGAACAGCCCGTCCCGGGGGCTGGGGCGGGGCGAGCCTAGCGCGGGAACTCGGTCGGGAGGAAGGCTCTGGCCCCGGCGCTGGGCCCCCGCCAAGCAAAGCCTCCCCCGCGGGCGGGCGCAGAGCTGGCCCCGCCTGGCGCTGGGCCGGCTGGTTAATCTGTAACTCCCCACACCCGCGGGGCCTCCGGCCCCATTTTGGGGAGGAGAAGGGGGGCTCAGGGGCCGGGGCCTTCTCAGGGGGGCTCTCAGGGTCTGCTGTCCAGGGCCTTATGGAAGGACCCCTTTGGGGGTGCGGCTTGAGGTCAAGGGGTGGCTCTTGGGGGGCCGTGTGGGTGCCCCTCAACTGCGGGGGGAGTGGATGAGGCAGGGAGGGCTCGGCCCTGGTGGGTGGAGGGAGGGGGACCAGTCCAGGTCTGCAGGGAAAGGCCGCTGGCCCTGCGGCAGCCTGGTCACCTCCGTCGGGGTGGGAGGTGCCAGGGGCCAGCCATCCTGGGCAGGGCTGTGTCCCCCTGATGCCCAGCCCGGGGTCTGGGGCTTGGGGGTTGTCAGGGGAGGTTAACCTGAGGCCTGGACGTTCTTCCTGCTTTCCTGCCCTCCAGGCCTCGAAGTTGGGCGTCGTCGGGGCTGGGGTGGGGAACGGCTCAGGCCTGCTCCCGCCGGCTGCGGGGCGCACAGGCCGCTGAGCCGCTGGGAGCCGCGGGTTCCTCCCTTGCAAAACGGGCATCCAAATGCCTCCCTCTGTGGGTTCTTGGGAGGATCCCGGAGGCCGGGGCCGGGCTGCCCTGGTTTGTGTGATCGGTGAGGCCTCTGCAGAAGGGCAGCGCCCTGGACAGCGTCAGAGGCTGCTGGTTGGGGCGCACACACAGACACCCCCGCAGGGCCCCGGGGCACAGGAGGGGGTCGGCCGCGGCCCCAGTGGGTTTCTAGAGCAGCCTGGCAGGGCTCCCCGGGAGAAGGGAGGTTCGGGCGGCGAGAGGCGCTGCTGCGGAGCGGCCACCAGGGGGCAGCATGCGGCCAGGCACGCGCCGCCAGCACTTGGGCGAGGGTTGGTCGGAGTCTTAGGCTGTGGAAGGAGCCGGGATTTCTCGCCGCCTGGGGCGCGGGGAGAAGGGCACCCCACAGCCTTCCCGATCCTCCGGGCCCATTCGGAAAGAGCCCGTGTCACATGAGAGTAAGTGCGTCTGCAACCGACACCCCACTTCTACGGTTCAGACGCAATAACAGTGTACTTCTCCCCCCGGCGCAGGCGGGTGTGCAGCGGGCGCCCCTGGGCCGTGGCTCTGCTCAGCGGTCACTCGGGGTTTCTGCGGCTTCGGGTCCCCCGCCCCGAACCCCACCGTCCCCGCTTCCCTGGGCCGCGGGGAGAGGAGGGAGAGGCCTGCTGGCGGGAGGCGCAGGGCTGTGATGCTGGGCCCCTCTGCGCAGGGTTGGGACAAAGGCTGGTGGCGTCCGTGCCTTTGGAGGAGAAGGGCGGCTTGGGGACCGGCACCCATCCACTCCGGGGGCGTGGCCAGCGTGATGAGGGGCACGTGCCAGGTGCCAGCAGGGCGCCGGGGCCCCCACCCCCCCACCAGGGCTCCCGGACCCCAGGCCGTGGGACTGCAGTGCTGTTTCCAGCACCAGGAACACACATGCCTCCCTTTGCTTCCTTCCGTGTACTCTGAATTACAAAAGCAGAACTTGGTGGTTGTATCCAGAGAGACGTTTACTTCCGAACCGGGCGCCTGGGGTGGCCTGGGCCTCGGCCTCCAGCTCCAGCCCCGGGGCTGCCCTCCCGCCCCCGGCTCTGCCCCTGCTGCCCGGGGAGGGCCCAGGCTCCGGAAGCCCGTAAACCATTCCTGATTCAATTCAGGGTCACGCCAAAGATGGGGTCACCTCTCTGCTGAGAGAGGAGGGGTCCCACGGCCCCCAGAGAAACGAGCTGGGAGGCCAGGCAGCTGGAGGGGGTCGGCCCCCACCGGCTCCTTCCCGGTGGCGTGGCCTTGCAGTTCCCTTCCCTGCAGAACAGGTGAGGCGGGCAGGACGTGCTCCTCCCAGCCCCCGGGCAGGACTCCGTGTCACATGCTGCGGGCGGCCACTGTCACTGAACTACCCGCACTCACGCACGGGCGGGCGCCCCAGTCCGTCCACACACCTGCCCCTCACGTCAAACCTGCACCCCCCCCCCGCCCTCTTCCAATGTGGGCACCAGGGCACGAGTCCTGCCCGGTCCTTCCCTCCTGGCCGCTCCGCAGCCCCGCACGGTGGCAGGCCCGTTGGCTGGCGCGACTGTCATTCTTAGAGTCTTTATCGGGCACCCAGGGGTGCGCGCCGTCCAATGGAGGAGAGGTGCGGCTCCAATGCAGCCAGGGCAGGTGGCAGGGCCGGCGGGGGGGGGGGGGGCTCCCCATGTGACAAGAGACCAGGCTGGCACAGAGGAGCAGCAAAGCCGTCCAGGCCCTGAGCTGGGCGGTGCCCGGCCAACCCCAACGGAGAAGCCCCCAGTGCCCTGTCCAACAGCCACCCAGCAGCGGCCCCAGCCAGACCCATGCCCGCCGGGCTGAATGCAGCCTGGCGTGGCCCGGTCCAGGCCCAAGAGGTGCCGACCCGACCCCATCAGGGACACGATCCAGAACCTGTTTCCCACCCGCTGGGCAGGGCTGGGGGGCCCCACGACCTCGAGGCTTCAGCCCCGGGCTCAGAGGGCCAGAACTCAGGGCGGCGGCAGCGCGGCTCCGGTGAAAGACCGTCCTCCCTCCGGCCTCCCCCTTGCCGCTCGCGGGCCTGAGGGCCAGCAGGTGTGTTCCGGCTCCAGGTGCGCGGAGCCCTACCAGGGACCCCAGCCCCGGGCGCAGCGGGCCGTGGGGGGGGGGGGGGCAGCTGCAGACCCCGCCTCGCCCCTGCCCGGGACCAGCGCACGGCGGCGGGCACAACCCCCTCAGCGGGCGCGGGGAGCCCCGAGGCTGGGCGCCCTCGGGGGGCGACTCGGTCCAGGCCGGACGCGGGGCTCGCGGTGCCAGGGAGGGCGCGCCGGCTGGGGGGGGCAGCCGCCACCGCGGAGCGGCCCCCGCCTGCAGACAAAGGAGCCCCGGGGGGCGGGCGCGGGGGTGGGGGGGCATGGGGCGAGGGGGCGGGGCGCGGGTGTCACGTTACCGCCCGCAGCGCCCTTTAACTCCGGCCCCGCCCCCGCCCCGCGCCCCTCGCTCGCGCCCCGCCAATCCGCCCGCCCGCCCGCCCGCCCCGCCCGCCGCGGGGGGGGGGAGGAGGGGCGCCCGCGGCCAATGGGCGGCGCGCGGGGCGGGGCCGGCGCGCGCGGGGGGAGCGGCGCGGCCAATCGCGGGCGTGTTGTTGAAACTGAAAATACTACTTTATGCTAATCGCGGGGCCCGCGCGCCGGGGGGGCCGGGGGGACCCTCGCGTATAAAGGGGCGCGCGCGGGCTGGGCGCTCCACAGGCGAGTGCTCTGCGCTCTGGGGGTGCCAGCCAGGCCTGACCAGCCCTGCGAGCGAGGACGGGCATCGAGGGGGCGCGGCCGCCAGCCGACCACACCGCCAGCGACTCAGGAGCCGTGCACGGCCCGACTGTCAGGTAGCGCCCGCTGCCCCGCAAGCGCAGACTCCGAGCGCGGGGTCTCCCTTGCGCGGCCGCCGCCCTCTCCCCCCCCGCTCCCCGCCTCTCCCGCGCCGCCCCGAGCCCTGTCCGTCGTGTGTCCCCGCAGCGACTTGGCCATGGAGCGCCTGGTCTCCCGCCGCGCCTACCCGCCGATGGCGCGCACCAGCGCCTGCCGCAGCCTCTTCGGGCCCGTGGACCACGAGGAGCTGAGCCGCGAGCTGCAGATGCGCCTGGCCGAGCTGAGCGCCGAGGACCAGCGCCGCTGGGACTACAACTTCCAGCAGGACGTGCCTCTGCGCGGCCCCGGGCGTCTGCAGTGGACCGAGGTGGACAGCGAGTCGGTGCCCGTCTTCTACCGCGAGACCGTGCAGGTGGGGCGCTGCCGCCTGCTGCTGGCGCCCCGGCCCCGCCCGGAAGGCGCGGGCGCTAACCCGCCCCCCGCGCCGCCGGCCGAGGAGCCCCTCGACGAGCTGGGGGACGCCCCGGCGTCGCCGCCGCCGAGCAGCGGCCCGGAGGTGTCCCCCGCCCCGGCCCCGGCCGTGGCTCCGCAGGAGATCGCTGAGCCGGAGGCCGGCCCGCCGCCGCGCAATCAGGAGCCTCTGGCGGAGCCGCTCCTCGCGGGGCGCCCCGCGCCGGGTGCTGCGGCCGCAGCCCCCGCCGCCGCTGCCGCTGCGGCCGCAGCCCCCGCCGCTGCCGCCGCCGTCGCCGTCGCCGCCGGCGCTGCCACCAACGCCGCGGCCGCGGGAGGCGCCGCGATGAAGAAGCTGGCCGGGCCTCTGATCTCCGGTGAGTCCCGCGCGGCCCCGCCCCGCCCCGGCCCGCCCGGCCCGGCTCGGCTTTGTCCAGCTGGCCGGGCTCCCCGGCCCCGGGGGCCTCCCCGGTCCCCGCCTCCTCCTCCCGCGCCGTTAAAGGGCCCGCAGCGCCCAGGGCGCGGCTCCCCGCCCCGGCCCCGCCCTGCGGCGCGTCCCGGCCGCGCGCGGGTTAAGTGCGTGGCGCCCGGGGGGCTTGGCTGCGGGACAAGGGAAACGCTGACACAGCACCTCGCGGGGCGACGTAAACAAAGCTGACCCGCCGCGGACCTCGCCGCGCCCGCCCCGGCCCCGCCCTGACCCGCCCGCGTCCCCGCAGACTTCTTCGCCAAGCGCAAGAGATCTGCGCCCGAGCCCAAGGCGGCCAACGAGGTGCCCGGCGGCTGCTCCGCGCCTGGCGGCGGTCCAGGCGTGGGCCCCGCCGAGCAGACCCCGCGCAAGCGGATGAGATGAGGTGCGTGGTGGCGGGGCGCGGGGGGGCGGGGCGGGCGCGGGTCCCTTTGTCGCGTGGCCCCCGTGCTCACGGCGCCTCTCTCCGCAGCCTCTCGCCCAAAGAGCCCGAGGGAACCCACTGAGCAGCGGACAGGAGACAAGCCTGGGCCCCGGCTGGGACCGTCCATGTAGCAGCTGCTGGCGAGCAGCGATCGGTTTTGTGTTTAAAGTTTGAAAACTGTGCAATGTATTAATAACTCTTTTATATCTAAATGTATTCTGCACCGAAGAGTACACTGGTCCCAAGGTGTAAAGCTTTAAGAGTCATTTATATAAAATGTTTAATCTCTGCTGAAACTCAGTGCAAAAAAAAATGAAAAAAAGAAAAAAAAAGGATAAAAGGAACATGTATATTTGTACAAAAAGTTAAAAAAAAAAGTTATACTAACTTATATTTCTATTTATGCCCGCGGCAGCTTGGCCCTTGGCTTTGCCAAGCAAGGCACGCACTGCACCTGGGGGTCCCCTGCCAATCGATTCCATAGCGGACCCCGGGGCGCCCACCAGCCTAGCGCCCGCCCGCGTGCCAGCCACCTGCGCGCCCGCCACCTGCGCGCCAGCCCGCCTCGCTTGCAGTCTCTCTCTCTCTCCGCGCTGTCGCTGTCTCTCTCTCTCTGTCTCTCTCTCTCTAGTCGCTTCCTCTAAACCTGACATCTCCGTTGAGAAGGTCCTGAGCCGGCCGCACCGCTGCCCGGCCCGTCCGCTGGGTTCCAAATAAAGAGGCCAAAAAAATTGCTGCAACTCGTTGTGTGCGTGTGTGTGTCCGCTCACCTCCCTGGGCAGCCCACGGGGCACTTCCTCTTGGCAGAGCTGGCGAGTGCCACCTGCCCCAGGCTTCCCTTGTCCCCCCACACCCCAGGTCAGACTGTGCCCCAGGAAGCCACCACCTCTGAGGGGACTGGTCCTGGCTGTGGTAGCAGCCTGGGGCCCCCCCTTTCCCCCACACTCAAAGTGGAGCCCCCCGTGGCTGCAGGTTTGCAGCTAGCTCCCTGGGAGGGGCCCGGAGCCTCAGGGCGGGCGGGGGAGGACAGGCCAGCAGCGGGCTCCCTGGACTCTGTGGGGGGACCTGAGGCCAGGGCCACCCTGCGGCACCCACCAGCCTGGCTTCCAAGCGCTCCCTGCCAGTCTCACATAAACCCCGAGAGCGACGGTGAACAGTGGGAGGTGGGGGAGGGTGGGGGGGGGCGAGGATTCGTGCGCTGTCACCAGTTTCCAGTTTGGGGGCGATGACCCCCTCCCCCAGCTCAGAGACAAAGGCTGGGTCCACCCTGGATCCTGGAGATGAACATGGGCTCATAGTTAACCCGCCCAATTCCTACAGCGGCCTGGCCCCAAGGCCCAGCAGAGCCATACCCCACCCAATGAGTGGGACCCCTCCCCCCTTCAGCAAAGCCATACCCCACCCTATGAGTGGGACCCCTCCCCCCTTCAGCAGAGCCATACCCCACCCTATGAGTGGGACCCCTCCCCCCTTCAGCAGAGCCATACCCCACCCAATGAGTGGGACCCCTCCCCCCTTCAGCAAAGCCATACCCCACCCTATGAGTGGGACCCCTCCCCCCTTCAGCAGAGCCATACCCCACCCCATGAGTGGGACCCCTTCCCCCTCAGCAAAGCCATACCCCACCCTATGAGTGGGACCCCTTCCCCCTCAGCAAAGCCATACCCCACCCTATGAGTGGGACCCCTCCCCCCTTCAGCAAAGCCATACCCCACCCTATGAGTGGGACCCCTTCCCCCTTCAGCAGAGCTGCTCCCTACCCCATGAATGGGATCCCTTCCCCCTTGAGCAGAGCTGCACCCCACCCCATGAATGGGATCCCTTCCCCCTTGAGCAGAGCTGCACCCCACCCCCATGAGTGGGGCCCCTGCCCCCTTCAGCTCTGCATCCACCTGGTCACAAGCAGGGAGTCGGCCCTGCAAAGGCTGGCCTGAGGCCTCCAGCTCTGGGGGGAGGCCCGCACCCTGTGTGACAGGCTCAGCACAGCGGCTGCAGGGGCAGGAAGGCTGGAGGGAAGCGGGGCCCTGGGGACACCCCTGAACTAAGGCCTGCCACTGAGGATGGAATCCGGGGGGTGGGCACCTCCGGTCCCCAAGCACCACGGCCGCAGGGCCTCCCCCTGTGTGTGTGTGTGGGGGTCCCACTGGATCCCACGGCACGGCTCTCCCAGCCCCTGCTCTCCCAGCCCCCGCCCGGCCGCCTGCCTCCTGCTCCAGGCGGGGGACAGGTGACACTCACTCCTGCCAGGGCAGGGCTGGTGGGGCTGCCGGGAGCCCGCCCTCCGGAAGGAGAAAGCACAGGGTTTGGGGTCACACAGGCGACTCAGGGGAGCCCTTCTTCCCCTTGCGGGCCTCAGTTTCCCCCTCGGTGCCCTGGGTGAGGGTCACCTGGAGGCACTGCTTGCAAAGCTCTCTGCTCTCCTGGGCGAGCCCGGTGGTCAGGGTGGCCCAAGCCCAGAGGACCCGGCGGCCGGCGCCCACACGGGGGTCTCCCTGTCACAGGCAACCCCGCACCACTGGGCCCCTGATGATGATGGTGATGGTGACAACAGGCCCTCATGGCCTCGGCCCTGTGTCCCACTCTGTGCCGGGCACGTCCACGCGACCCCAGCATGCTCCTCCGTTGTCTGAGGGGGAAAGTGAGGCCGGGCGTTTCCTGCCCCAGGACTAGCCGCTGACCTGGGCACGGCCGAGGGACCCTGTTCCGGGGCTGCCGGCTCCGCAGCCGAACGGACCGCACTGTCCTGCCCCTGGGAGGGTGGGCCCGGGCGGGGAGGGGAGCCAGGCCCCCAGGACAGCGGGCCCCAGGATGCTGCGCTTCCCACTGAGCCTGCGCCGGGTGCCAGGCCGGTGCTGGGCTCCGACGTGAAGGTGGCTTCCTCTGGCCGGGCCGGGAAAGCAGATGCCTGCGCCTTTGACCTATAAACCCACAAAGCGGGCGCAGCCAGAGGCCGGGGAGGGCCGCCGGCAACCGTGGGCGGGCATGGCAGCCACAGGTGAGGCGACAGCCTGTGCAAAGGTGGGCTGGGCCCTGGAGCTGAGGGAGGGCAAAGGCCAGGGGGAGGCAGTGGGGGGAGGGGGTCTGAGACCGACCAGGCTTTGGGGTGGGCGGGCTGCCTGGGGTCTCTCCCCAGGTGGGCGCCAGGTCCTCTGGGCACCCATCTGGCCTGGTCGGGGTGGGTGTTGGGCCTGCATGTGGTTTAAACGCTATCAATGAACGAGGCCCTTTTGGGGTGTGCCTGTCAGGCCTCCCGCTCCTGTCCCTCCCACTGGTCCCCTGGACCTTTCCGGTCCGACGGCCGGTGGAAGGTTGGGTTTTATCTGCAGGCAGCGGGGAGCCCTGGAGGCACGGAGGCCGGGGTGACGGAGCTGAGGCACCTTACAAAGCCCCGGGGGCTGCTGGGAGGCCGGGACACGGGGCCAGTGAGGGGTGCGTGGCCATTCAGGCAGGAAACACAGGGCAGACACTCGGCTGCCTCCAGCCGGCCAGCCGCTCCGGCCCAGAGACCCGGCATCGAAGGAGAGGGACGAGCCCCCTGCTCCACGGTGGGAGCTGACGTGACCAAACCCGCCAAGTGAGCAGGGGTGAGCTGGGAGGGGGCAGAGCTGAGGCCCAGGCCAGGCCAGGCCGGAAGCCCCTCCAGCTCCCAGCAGGCGCCATCTGGGCGTGGCTGAGGTGAGGTGGGAGATGTGAGGGTTACAGGAGAGGAGAGAGTTTCGAGCAGAGGGAACAGCCAGTGCCAAGGCCCTGAGGCCTGCAGGGTTCATGGAACAGTGGGCAGGGGCCGGAGGGGGGAGGGGCCCTCAGTGGGCAGGGGCCAAAGAGGTGAGGGGGCATGCAGTGGGCAGGGGCCAGAGGGGGGAGGGGCCCGCAGTGGGCAGGGGCTGGAGGGGGAGGGGCCCGCAGTGGCTCCCCTCTGCTTCATCTGCCACCTCGTGCGGCGGGCGGGCCAGGGTGAGGCTGTGGAACCCACAAGGCCCCATAGATGACCCACCTCCAGGGACAGCGGTTCAGGGACAAAGCCCAGGCCTTGAGCACAGGACTCTGAGGGGCCACCCCCGTCCCGGGGCCCCCAGGGACGGGCTGAGACCTTGGCCTCCTCTGCACCACAGCTCAGCTCCCCCTCCCCCACCTGCTCCTCCAGTCCACGGGGGTCCCCAAGTGTGGCCCCGGCCACATCCCACACATGCACGCAACACACGGACACACAGACACGCATGGACACACACAGAGACATGCACACGCAGACATAGCTACACAGACATGCAGACACTCATGCACACACACGGGCACAGAACCACAAACACGCCTACGCACACACACGCGCACACACGTGTCCAGTACTTCGACTCGTGTTTTCCTTTGACGAGGGAGGAACATCATTAGGGTGTGGGGGTGTCACCGTCCATGATGGGGCGTGCTTCAGCCCCAACCGCTGCTCCGGGCGTTTTAAAGCTGCTACGAGGGCCCTGGAGTGGGGGCTCCAGGGGCCGTCCACACACGGATGGCGTCCCTGAGATGTGCTCCTTGAAACGGGGATAGAAATGGCCTCTGGTGGCCCTCGTGGCGTCAGGAAGAAGTGGCCCGGCCTTTGCTGGTGCCCGACAGCCCTCGGGGGGGGGGGGCCTTGCCTCAGGGCCGCCCACACCAGCTGGGCCTGCTCGGGCCTCCTCCCAGCATGGCGGCGGGCAGGTCTCTAAGTGCCGGGGGCGGGGGAGCAGCTCTGCCTCCGCCACCTGAGCAGGTGCCTCATCGAGGCCGCGGCCGCCGGCATCCCAGGGAGGGGACCCTGCCCTGCTTCTCCGGAGAGCCCGCGGCCGCCCGTCCGCCTGGGCACGCACCCTCCCTGGCAGGGCCCACGAAACCAAGGCTCCGAAATGCAAAACAAAATCGTTTCCTGCGGCCGGATGTCCCGCGAGACGCAGAGACAGGGCACTCAGTCCGCCTCGTGTCTGACCGGCGCCCGGAGTGGCCGGTGCTCCGCCGGCAGAGCTGGGTCCGGGCGACGGGCAGGGCCCGGGCCTGTGTGCGGACGGCTCGGGCCTCCTCCCCAGGCCACGGGGACAGCGCCACGGCCACCCCTGACCCGGCGCCGCCCGCGGCCGCCCGGCCTCGTCTGTCGCCGGTGTGTGTTGTCACCTGCAACATTGCCACGCAATGCACAACACACAGGTGTATACACATAGACGTGACTTCGGTCTTCCTGCCTTTGTAGCTGTTTTCGTGTTTTCTCAGCAATAGCAACAGTATCGCTTGCATCTCCTTGGAAACATTCCGCTGGGAAGGAGCAAACAGGCGGCCCTCGCTGCTCGTCCGTTTCTCTCCCCCAAGGGCTTTATCAGTTTTTAAAGCAACCCCAGGCCCGTCCTCGTCCTCGCAGGGCAGACCCACTCCTGCAACTCGAGCAGCACCGGCGTGGAAGGGGCCAGGGGGACCCACCTCAGGGCGGCGGCCAGCTCGGTCGGACAGCCGCGCGCTCCCTGCTTCTAGAAGCTGCCGCTTCCAGGCCAGGCCCTGGGCTTTGTTTGCCGCCCCCGGCTACTGCCACGCCATGTTCCACTGGGACCCTGCCCGGGGCCAGCCCAGTGGGGTCCTGTTCGCCTCACCGCCCCACCCCCCGGGGGCCTCCCTCCCTCCCTGCAGCTCTGCGCCCTCGGCTGGTCAATGCTCTTCTGAACGGCTTTTGAGCCGTCGGCCCCCTTTGGCGACGGCAAAAGTCATAAAAATGGTCACGTTGCAC